TTAAAATATACAGATACAATATTGCTATTTATATCAGCTTTAATCAACGTCACGGAGAACAGAATGACAGCTATTATTCCACCAAGAGCCATGCTTCTTCGTCTGTTGTTTCAGTCGAATGTCTCCTATTAATATATAGCTTATTGCCCAATGTCTCACTTGTGCCATTGATTTTGCCATTATAGCTGCATAAACAGCGTTAATTATGGATATTTCTACACGGCATGTTACGTCGTTACCCTGTCCGTCGGTCCGTCAACAATTGGCTTGTGAACGGGATAGAGCCTACATTTATAACGGATATTTTTCCCATTTGTTTGAAGCATTGGGGTCATAAGGGTACGACCGCTATCGATTATCAGCATTCTGCAATATTCCGTTTCTGAGTTATGCACCTTTTCCAAAATCCCTGTGAACGCAAATGAGGCTGCAGTTTTTAACGGATTCCATTAACATTTGATTTGAAGTATTGGGGTCTAGGGAAGACGAACCCTATCTGTTTTAAGCGTTGTGGATTCATCTCATGGGGTTTAGAACTAATTTCGTGAAAAGACGAACTCTCTGAATGTTCAGAGTTCTGTGACCCCTTGTTGTGGAAATGAAAATGAAATTAAAGAAAATGGGGTTTAAGGTCCTACTGTTCTGCTGCGACTGGGCCAATGAAGACGGGTCCCTTTTGTGGAGTAACCCCCATTGTCCCTAAATATTTTGGACGCGGTAGTGGCTACACTATTGAATGTTTTTTTTTCATATTTGACGTGCAGCATCGGGGTCACAAGAAGATGGACCAGTATAGATTTCCAGCATTTCACTCCCTTCCGTTCCAGACTTACCACCCTTTTTGCCCTAAACTTTGTAAACGCGATAGAGACTACAGTTTCAAATGATAGTTTCCATACTTGGTGTGGGGTCTGTTCTGAAGCTACCTTCACTTTTCTGAAAACAATTGCGAGGCTACAATTTTTAACAGATTTATGATCAACTTTAGTTTGAAACATAATATGAGGGCACCTTTTGCATGTAGTAATGCCTCCTTTGTCGTAATAATTTTGAACGCTATAGAGGCAACTGTTTTTAAAAGATTATTTTTTTTTCAAATTTGGTGTGAACCATTTGAATTGTGAGTGCAGGCATACTATTGATTTTCAGCTAGAGGATGAGCCGTATTGAATTTTAAATTTGGTGATTATGATGGGAGGGGATTAACCTTGTTGATATTCAGCATTTTTCGATGTTTTTTTTATCCATGCTTTGTGCGGTTATCTTTAAAAATGTGGTAATATAAAAGCCGGGTTAACAGGTTTGAATAAAGTTTTAAACTTAAAGATCGACCACACTTACAAAATATTTGCATAAAGCTTTACAAATAATATATGTTGTAATAGGCCTATATATTGGACGCTAAAAGGTTTGGATATGATTTTAAAATTAAAGCGATAACATACATGTAGTATCGAGAATCATAAAATGATGACTATCCAGGATTTTGTGATGGTAAAGTGGGCGTATCTGTGACGGGGAAAGTGCACGTATATTTGTTTCTGACTGCAAAGTTGGCGTGTATGCGTTTCATGACGATAAAGTGTACATTTTGTGTTTGTGACGAAAAAGTGAGCTTGTATTAGTTTGTTAGGGGACAGTGGGTGTGTATGTGTTTCAAGTGCGGTAATGAAGGGGGGAAGAGGAGGTTGTATTTGCTTCGGGACGTATGTGTGTTTGTAAGGGGAAAATTGCGCGTTGCGTGTATTTATGGTGGGAAAGTGGACGTGTATGTGGTTTTTGACCGTAAAGTGGGTGTGTATGTTTGTGGCGGGAAAGAGGGCGTGTATGTGTTTGTGACGGGGACAATGTGTTTGTGAAGGGGATATTTCAGGTGTGTGTGTCGTATCGTGCTAGATATCAATCAAAGATAGTCAAGGCGAATAATACACACATGCATGTACATACATGATAAATACTGGATGCGTAGTTTCAGGAAACAGAATCAGACGTAGTAAGATGGAACAAAGTTATTTTAAATTTTATAAAAAAAAGTTCATAATTATTTACTCGATGAAGGTGAATAACTCTTTAATATTATCTTAAAATGAGTTGTATAAATAACAGTAAAAACTATGGAATATTATTGAACATAACCCGATGCATTTCGTTTCTGCAATTAGTTAAAGTATAGATCTGCTCTTTGGGAAAACAATAAGCTATAAATTCCAATTTGTAACGTCAACAATGTATAAAAATACAGTAGAAAATATTGAATACCAGCAATTAAAGTCCCGATGCGCAATTAGCATTTTTCGATGAAATATCAAATTTATCACGACTTGATCCACACTTATATGTATTCAGATTGATTATTTAGCATTTAATTAATAAAACAAAATCAAATTATCAACACTTGATCATGTCCCGGTCTAGATTGGGTCGGATTTAATAAAGGGCTTATCAATAAATTTTCGAGGAAACAAAATGGCGGCGGGCTTATTGCATGGCGAGCTGCATTGATTATAAACACCGAGCGGAATTGAAATTATGCGTGCAATTAAAATATAGATCTGCTTATTATAACATTAATAGTTATAAACTCTAATGAGTAAAGTCAACAAAGTTTACATCAGGCTTATGTTATTACCATTAACATCTATTTAAATATAATATATTTTAAATGTCTAATAAAATATAGCAAAGGATAGATAAGCATAATAATGTAAAAAATTATTGATAAGCTAAACTATTAGATAGATCAAAGACAATTATCTTTAAAAGTGTCAATACTGTTATTGATTTATATAAACCAACCGCGCCCAGTCTTTGAATGGATAATAAGATGTTACATATATTTTGTTCTTTAAATTAGTAATATTATATTCTCTCAAAACAGAAACGCATAGGTGATATGGAAAGAAGAACATGATTTGATCTGACAAAATGTCTTTTTTTTTTACAATGATGATGAATGAGCATGTTTCGTAATGTTTCTGCAAAAGGATAACATGCCCAAATCTCTCCTAAACAGAACAGTAGAACGTTAATGTTGATGAATGGACATGTTTCGTAATGTTTCTGCAATAGGATAACATGCCCAAATCTCTCCTAAACAGAACAGTAGAACGTTAAACCCCGTTTCATTTCTCCCCTTAACAAATTTAACGCACGTTGTGGCACGTTATGCGACAAATGCGGAGAGAGAAAGAGAGAGAGAGAGAGAGATATCCTCGCCGAAAGGTCGCTTAGTATTAAACTCAGTAACTGTGTATCCATAAAATTGTACCCTGTGTTAATATAGACCAACAGTATATAAATATTAATTGGCTGTAAAAAAACAAAACAAATAAAATTCTTCAAATCCTGCACTTGTCTTCATGCTTAACATGTAAAGCGACTAGACATTTTTCGCCTCAATAATAGAAATAAGATGAAACAGAATTAAAATTTACACTGAACATAAAAAGAAGTTGGATTATACGATTATGGATTATAATTTATAAATTACATGAATGAAAGTTAGAAATTACATGAGTAGAAGTAAGAAATTAGACGATAGCATGTTAGAATATTGAATCTAATATACCGCCATACGGATATGCACCAATATTATCGGAAGGGAAACAAACACGCTACAGTATGTAACTGTCTTATTCAAATGGGCATGTCCGGAGGGTATTTGTGACCGAGGGCAATTAACCATACAGTCCCACTGTATGACTAGCAGACGAAAGATTAAAGAGTTTCGCGGACAGGAACAGCACCTCCGCATAAAATAGACGCATGACCTGTAGAGTTTACACGCTTCTGGTGACAGGAACAATAAATCAGCTTAATAGCGTTACACGCCTTGATAAGGACACCCCCACCTCTTAAGACTAGCCAGTTAATTAATTCCAGCATCTTTGAAAAATAAGTTAAAGTCGATAAGTGTTCTACTAATAAGCAGACAACCCCAGCAGATGTAATTAAAATCTCAAAACCTCTAACTAATAGGCGTACTAGCCAGGGGCGGGGGCCGGGGGGGGGGGGGGGGCAGCTGACTTTCGGGCAAGCTGACTTTTCGGGCAGACGCGTAAAGTGAAAACAATTTTTTATTTCATCTACTTAGCAAAATAAAGTGTCCGAAATCTAATAAAACACTAATTTTATGGGCTTGAATAGCAGTAAAACGCGTTTGCGGCCGTCAAATATTCAAAACATTTCTTGGGGGGTCCATACAAGGTCAGCTGTCTGTAAACCTGAAATATTTTCGGGCATTTCTAGTTTTGGTGCCCTAATATTGTCATCGAGCCCTAATAAAAAACTAATTTTACTTTTCGTTTAATTGAGCCACTCTACTTTGTGCGACATTTTTCGGGCATCGATTATTATTTGTGAATGCAGCTGCAACAGTCTGATTGCATGGTTGGAATTCATAATTGGTTTTCGGTTACAAAACCATTTGATACTTTTGGAGTTGCTTACACGGGCTAGAATAACAGAAAACGCATTTGCGGTGATTAAATTTTCAAAATTTTCTCCGGAAAGTGTGGCCCCCACACCCCGCGACTATTAACTGGTTGTTTGGAATTCGGGTCAGCCAGGTAGGCTATATTGGACCAAATTGAAGTTGCTGTAATCACAGTCTGGAATAGCAGGAAAACGTGTTTGCGGCAGTTAAATTTTCAAAATTTTCTCCCAACGGTCCAGTTTTCGTGGACTGTAAACGATTGATTGGAATTCGAGTCAGCCACCTTAATTAGGCTCTATTAGACCACTTTTTGAAGTTGCTTTGTTCACGGGCTGAAATAGCAGGAAAACGTGTTTGCACCCGTCAAATATAACCAAATTTTCTTCCTCGAGGAAGACCGGTGCAGCTGTCGGGCATTTCGGGTCCCCCCCCCCTAATTGTCATCGAGCCTGCACGCCTGTCTGACTTGTACTTGTATAGGGCATTTCTACAAATTGTGAACGGAAGGACCAACATGCTGACGACACTATACTCCTATAAAACATGTATACAACACAGGAGATACTAAGCATTTAAAACAGTTTATCCAAATAATTTATATAATATAGTGTATACTATTTAGTAATTAACAGTAGGTAGCTCTTAAGACTAAATCAAAAGTGTGTACGGCATCGACACTGACTGTAGCGGGATCTAATCCAGACGGGATCTATAATATTCTAACAATAACCAGTAAATCTGTGAAGAAAAATAAAAATCAAGTTATATTTAAAGTAGCTAAGTCTGGAACTCAATATCATCCAAAATCTTCACCATTGAAAACACCAATTATTTGTCAGTTAAAATCGACATTGATGTTGTGATCTTACCGGGAAGAGATGGGCTTCTGATATCCAATATTTAAGACAAAATAAACATTTTACCATTGGTACACGAATCGTGTACCATAATGCGTTTCAGCGTCATTTGTAATAAGGGACTTGAAAAACGAGGCTAGGCATATTCCACATGTCAAGTCAAACGGTGACGCCATATTCTTATCTGGAGAGCATGTGCAATAAATACTATCGGTGTAGACTGGAATAACCAGGCATTGCCATTCAATTGAGACTTCTGGCGTATTTCGCCGAACATAAATGATTAGAAATTATAGTGAAAACAGAAAAGATTGAATGTAAATCAGTTTATATACATTCATATTACATTATTATATGCGTTGCGACTCATTTGTGTCAATTTCTAGGTTCCAAATATTAGCGATTTAGCCCCTTTAAAGTTAGCTCTAGTGTTCACTCTAATTTCTAAAACTATTTCTTAAATTATTAGAAAATATACAGGAACATCCACATAAACTTTATCGGTCAACACTAGGATCGAAAACGGTTACAGGGTTAGATGAAATAGTACATATAATTGTAAATTGGGCTAAAAGCGCCAATTATGCCCGAACCAGTTTGTATTACATCATTCGATGTAAATAACGAACGTGTTATCGACGCCATATGATGCAACGTCACAACAGACCGATTAGGGCGTAAATTTAAAGGTAAAAAAACTTTTGATGGTGATCCTTACATCCAAAGATCTATGCCCGGATTAAACTGTTCCCAGACCTGTTGGGGCTCCATCACATTCCGCATTTACGACTGTAAAACGTCCCTTACTGATGAATGACAAAAATCATGGAGGTGATTGTAAGAAAGGTATCTTTTTTCTCGGGTGGCGTGGCGTGATTTAGCCTGACCAGGAGCGACCTTTCCAACGCCCAATAGTTCGGAACTCTTCAGATCTAGCCAGCACTCCGGAATTTTACGCGACTAGAATTTTCTTGTGGGGGGGGGGGGGGGCGATTTGGAGGACCCTGATGTCTCTCTATCGATCCGGTACCGCAAATATCCCCCGGGTCCTCGGTTAATAAGGATGGGTTGTGTTGCGAAAGCACTATATCATCTAGACTTACCCCAAAATTACTCTATAGTTTAAAAACACCATCGTTGTTTACACCACGGCGTTCTACATCTGGCACAGAACATGCCCCCAGCAATCGCCCCCATAAACCCATGAGCTAAAAAACATCGTATATAAACATGTTTAATTCCTGCTCCACCATGGTTGAACTCAAAACGCAGCACGACGTTTTACCTGGTTGCGTATGCAAAGCAAATATATAGTCTATAAGGGTTGATCACATGACTATCATATTTCAATTCATAATGCGTAACTTCCTGTCAACAGAGGCCGAGTGGCATTTGAAGGTCAACTTAAAGGACAATGGTTGTGTCCACCAATGTAAGATATGTGGCAGAACTGGTTAAACACATTTCAAATAAAATACTAATACAGACATATTTGATATATACGTTTAACCCGAAACGAAGATTCAAAGAATCGGAATGTGACGCAAACAAGGACAATAAGTTATAAATGCGGACGTTTTCTGTCCGGACGAATTTGGTTTTTTAAAATGTGTAAGTAATACGAACGAACTGGAGGATGGAGGTTTACATCATTGGTTAGGTCGAAATCTGGCCAAGTGTTGGTAAAGTGCAGAATATTGGGAAACACCATGTTATTCATTAGAAGAAATAAAAGACAAACTGATTTATACATCATACTGCCTGAAAAATAAAAAGAGAGCACGCCACCGATAAATTAATACCGTATTCAGTCGGTTAAAATGTTCAGACTGCCATGTAGGCATTTCTTACCATCACTGAGGGGTCCTTAGCAGTGGGAGGAAAGCGGACAGCCCGAAGAAAACCCGCGATGTTTTGCATGCGATCCTACCCCTTTTTCACGTACAAGCTTGGAATCGAAACGACTTGACTCAGTGACATACTTTATGATCTAAAACCCAATTGTTAAACCACCCAATATCATTGACATCAGTGATCCATCGTTGACTTACCTTGTATCTAATGTTGAAGCTGCTGTAAATAAATTATCTCCGGGTAGTGTCTGGTTCTGGCTCTCAATATATTCTAAATTAAATGTTGAACGATTTCTCTTGGCTTGCAAAAGGTCGATAAATGATGGAGAATTGTGGTAAATTCCCAATCCAACCTAATATATACGTGGGTTATAAAAGAGCAACGGATGTTATATCGTCGAGATGCAGTTTGAATGTTAAAGAGAGAAGTCGGATTGTACTTCATTAATCTCAGGCGTATTAAGATGTTGGCGTGAAATCAAAAGAAACTAATGAAGACTTTAAAATGGCCAAAACGAGCGTCAGAGTAGGTTGATTTGCATAATTATTGACCAAATATTGTTTTATTAAGACTGTTATTAATTTTTAGACTGTACCGAATTAAATTGAAATTTTAATCTAGCTGATGTTACTTTAATATGCCTCAGGAAATAAACGATGAGGAAATATTTGTAACATTGGATGACTGTAGTCTCTATAGCAATGTCTCACATAATTTGTGCCTGGAGGCAGTCAGTTATTGGATAGATAGATTACATGTACTTCGAAATCCCCGTTTTTCTAAAACCTTTATTTTAAAAGCTATCGATATCATTCTGAGGAATACTACTTTCGAATTTGGAAAACGTAATTTTATACAAATTAAAGGCTGTGCTATGGGCTCAGTGTGTTCACCTGACCTTAGCAACCTCGTTATGGGATTCTTAGAACAATTTTATACAATAACTGAAAACAAATTTGGTATTAACTATAGAAACTACATGGAAGACAAATTTAAAAGATATTTAGACGACGTCTTCCTCATTTGGAAAACTAATCTTGGCCACATAGCAGATTTGCACCAAACGTTAAATGACCTAGATATTAATATTAAATTCACTATTGAAACTAGTTACACGGAAATCGCTTTTTTTTAGATGTTCTCGTTAAGAGATTTAATAATCGAATCGTTACAGATATTTACTCCAAAGAAACAGATACTAAAAATTATTTATCTTATAAGTCATGTCACCCCCGTCATGTTAAAAATTTTATACCCTTTTCTCTTGCCAGAAAACTATACACTATAATTTTAGACGAAGATCTCAGAATTCGACGACTTGATGAGTTGAGATCCAATTTATTATAAAAAGATTATCCACTTGAGGTTATTAATATAGATATTGAAAAAGCTAGGGATCTAACTACTGAAGTATTAAGAACGCCAAAAGAAAAGAATATTTCTACTTGTATTACCTTTATTTCGACATATAATCCTCGACATAATAATTATTTTCAACATATTTATGATACTAAGAATGTTCTCCTTTCTAATGATAATCTTAATAATCAATTTTATGGCATAGATTTAATTAATAGTAAACGTCAGCCCCCTAGCCTCAAAAAATTACTCACTAATGCTAAGTTTCAAGCTTCTAGAAATGGAACCTTTTTCTACTTCTAAGTGCCATAGCCCACTTTGTAAATGTTGCCAACATATGATTATTAATACTAAATTCACTTTTTCTAATACTAATTATACGTTTAGAATTAATCATAATATGAATTGTAGTACTAAAAATTTAATTTATGTTCTTGTTTGCAATAACTGTATGAAGAATTACATAGGGGAGTGCGGGACTCAGAGGCAACATAGTTTACAAATTAATCCTGTTTTGAAAGTCTCTAAATATTTAAATACTTGTGCTAAGAATTTAAATATTAAATTTAGTATTTTTTCTTTTTATAAATTCAATATTGACAATACTATCTAGAGACGGAATATGGAAGCTTACTTTATTGACCGGTTAAACCAGATTTAACTGCTTAATTTGCACCCTTCCCACCCTATTAATATTCTAATAATATTTAAATATAATCTTAATATATGTTTTTACACTTTTTACTTCAACACTACTTTAGGGGATTTTAAACCCTGTATACCTTTATTTCTCTATAATCGGTTTATTAGAGAATAAGATGGATATAATTAAATGTACAGCCTAATTACCTAATTGATCTATTCACATTTAATTAATCTCTTTACTTCTGTATGGTTCTATTGTCAAATTATACCAGGAAGATTATGTAAATTAATGAAAGGTTAAGTTTTATTATAGCCAGATAACATATATTGGACATACAAAAACCAAAGTCCAATATACATCCTGTTTCAATAGGAACTTTTGTTTAAGACAACAAAATGCCGGAATAATGGCTAAATATAGAGTGTAACAAATTCACCGTGGAAATATCTTTAAGTGTTCAACTTCCAGAATAATGGCTGAATAAAGAGTTTATCCACTTCACCGCAGATATTTAACATCCTGTAACAGTGATTCTATATCGGGTGGTATGCGATTAGCTTAAAAATAATCTAGTGGGTCATATGATTGTACAATGTTGATGAATGAACATGTTTCTTAATGTTTCTGCAATGAGATAGCATGCCAAAATATGCCCTAAACAAATTTAACCCACATAGGGGGCACGTTATGAGTATATTGCAGGAAACAGGCGTTAAAAGGTCGGGATGAGAATTGGGTAGTGATGAATATTTAAAGCTGCGATGCCCGCAATAATGTCGCATTTAGATTTCGACGTATGTACGAGTTACAAGATGCCAAGACTATGACCGTCGAATTGGAACATTTCAAACAGTCGCATGGCACATGAACGCCCACCAGAGCACTATTCCGCGGCTTTGGGACACGCCCCTGGGACATGTACTAGCAATGAAATGAAATGGGGTTTAACGTCCTACTGTTCTACTCCTATACTGGGCTAATGAAGACGGGCATACGCCATACAGTGTGTTATGAGGGAAATTTTGCCCGGGCAGCGGCACTATCGCCTACTCTTATATCGAATTCCAACTCCCAAGGGAACTTTTACGTGCATTCTAATGTATACACGGGACCTCAGTTTTTCGTCTCATCCGAAGGGCTAGACAGCTGTCCTTGTCAGGCCCTCCGTTCTGCACCACTGACAAGGGGAAACCACGTCGGGAAATCAGGATGAACTTTCTCGGCCAATGCAGGGATCGAATATCCGACCTCCAGGCTAGCGAGCCAGCGTCTTAACCACCCAGTCACCTTGGCTCCCCATGTACTAGCAGTTTCAATCAGTACAATACCGGACCAACGTGGAAGACCTCGTCTAACACCTGTAACACAAGTGACGTAAACATCGACGTTTTCGTGATCACTGATGCACGAATGTACAGGGGGTAACAGTTGACACTTGCGGCGAGTATGGTTCAGCGACAAGTCACGTTTCCTGTTACAACGACGTGATGGAGGACAAAGTGTTATAGGCGTCGCGATAACCATTTGACCAATAGCTGCGTCGTGCAAGTTGACAGATTCCGTAGAGATAGTGTTATGGTGGGCTTAGCTATCTCCTACACCGGCGAAAGTGAACCTAACAGGTGGTTGCTTCCTGGTTGGAATTCTTCATCATCACATGCTTTCCATTTTGGATCGACAGAGAGAACTCTTTCAACAAGACAATGCCGCATACGGCACGTGTAACAACGGATTTCCTAACGACTGAGAAGATTAATTAGCTGTTATGACCACCAAGATCGCCACATCGCAACCCTATTGATTATCGTTAGGACGAACTGAAAAGACGTTCATGTCAATGTGATCCGGTTGCTCAGAAGCTTCTACAACTGTCACATGCACTGTAGGAAGAATGGGTTATGATGCCACGTGCCCGGATTCGATTCAGAGACCCATTCTGTTTGCGACATGTCATCGGTCCATAGCAAGAACATAATCCCCTTACCATGGCAAATTTAACTGTGATACAATCAAAAATAAGAGATTATACTATTTTGTATTAAAGGGATAATTCCATAAATATTTCAACTGTGACGGAGTATGTGGATGATAAACAGAGCATAACGAAAATTACCAAAATATATCTAACAGCCGTTATGACATTCATCATCCAAAGTATATTTATTGTTCCTTGAATGACATTTAGAAGTAGAGGTATAATATTCATAATAACACAACTTTATGGATTTATCAAGCTTGATAAAGATACCTGTAAGAGTATTGAAACGTTGCATGTAATAAACCAAGAAGTAGTAAATCCATAAAGTTGTGTTATTATGAATATTTATTGTTAATGTATATCTGTTTTCGTGAGTGGTATATAAACATATTTGTGGAAATGTTTCCAATTTTAAATTCCGGCAAAACCTCGCCATCTAGGACTTCAAGGGCAGAGGAATTGTCCGGGAAATCCATGCTGTAAAAATATAATCGCATCTTTGTTTAAGCGCATCGAGGAATTCGACTGTTGAATGGATGATAAAACAATGAAATTTCATGATTTTAAGTAAAAGGATGTTGAACAATTCAAAGATTAATACTTTAGATGTAAGAGGGTAAAGATCAATTCGAATAATACATTACAAGTTAGTGCAGAATAATAACGTTTACTGACAAGGAAATGAAATAAAATGGGGTAAAATCTTAATTTCTGTACCGACCGGGATAATACAGTGTGCAATGAGGGACATTTGAGCACTAACGTGTACATAGGACGTCGGGTTTTCTTCCCAATCCAACAAAATAGACACCGGGATATCGAACCACCCAGAGAAATAGTGTACATTGTATATAGCAGGATACATGTAAAATACACAGCTTATAACAGTTATGATAATATACAACATCAGTAATACTACTAATACAGTCTATTCACAGCCGCGCTAGTTCGATAATCTAATTCTAATATTTCACCATGGTCTCCATTATCGCTAAATGAAATGGGGCTTAACGTCCTACTTTTCTGGACCAACTGGGTTACTGAATATAACTAGAAATATTTTAATATAAAATCCATTACACTAAGCGTGTGTTCTGTGACGAGAGCCACACTCTTCTCATACTAAATCTGCATGATGTTTTTAGGACATAAGACTCACTCTCGCGCTCAACCAAGGACAAGTTTACTTGATTGGTCACTTGCAAACAATTCAGCCTTGATTCCAACAACACGTTCTAACATGGGAACTGGGGAGAGGGGCTGGAGAGTGGTGGGACTGCTAATAGGTGATCAATTTTCTAAGAATTAGCTCAATATAGGAGAGACTGTCAAAACCTACGATCATATTTGGAATATCAGACTATGGTGTCATTGAAGTAGCTAATTTATAGAGCGGAGGGCAGCTGATTAAGTCAAAATATTATCCCTAATTCAGAGAGACCCCATTTCCCGCACATGCCAGAAGCAACTCCTATATTATATCTATTTCGACCCAGATATACCAAGCAGATATTGTATTAAAATATTGTATTACAACCTTTATTGTGTGCTACACTTTAACCTTAGAGATATTCGTTAATGGCTATTTGCTATTTTATGGGATACGAACTTTGAGATAAAATCGTTATTACCCTATCTGCTATTAAAAAAGGAAGATGGTGTTGGTATTCCGATATGTCGATGTACACAGAGGAACAGAAATATAATACAGATAGGATATCCGAATGGGTTATATTTACCTAATGGTCTTTTACAATCAATGCAGGTCGAATCATGCGGAGCAACGACGTAGCTAAATATTTTAAATATCGGAATAGAGTCCGTGGACTAAGTCTTGAAGAATAGAAGAATGGAAAGGAATAGTATGAGCAGTTTGCTAATTCTATATTTTATGGCTAATCTTATGCCATGCGCTGCAAGCAAAATACTTACAACACATTTTCGAATCGCCATTGATGGATGTGCAAATAATTCAGTAGCATCGACAGATTTCTACCTTTCAACGCACGTCAGGAGTCGAAGTTATTGCTTTGCAACGTGCTCTTTGGACGAGTCCTGCAAATCTGTACAATTTCAATACACACACAGGCTTTGTTTAATGTTTAACAGTATAAACCCGTGTCTAAACATTGGAGGAACACCACTGAAAGTATACTATAATGAGAAGCAACAGTTAAAAACAGGTGATGAAGATGCTGTGTTGTCGTCCACAAAAGCAGTAAGTAGATCATATGTTTATCTATTGTATTTATTTCATTCGAACAATTAAAGCGTTAATAATCAATTTATTGTCCTAAATCAGTTTTTAATCTCAGGCCCGGTACTCAAGTATTGTGGCCCCTGGACCCACGCCTATAAGGACCTATGATGGAAGCCCCCCCCCACCCCAATCAAGACTTGCTTCCGCCGGCCCTGAATCTAATTGATGAATATGCATAAGCATTTAGAAATTCTGACAATTTAAAGATAATTTCCCACAAAAGTATTTATCGGGTGGTTATTTCCAATAAAAATATAGCAATTTTGGTAGAAATTAGAAACATCCAATCTTACTAGAAGAATACTGGATTTCCTGAAAAATTCCCATGGAGCGCATACAGGACAAAAATGTAAGGGTTTTCCTAACTGGCAACCCAACGATTAGGGATGTCTGCTCGAGTGAAGAAAGGTTTAACGCGAAGATTGTCTGATTTCTCAAACTGTGTGATTTGGTGATCTATTTGGACTAAAAACATATTCAGACTAATTAATCTGTCAAAACTTTGCCTCAAATCCCTCTTAAAACTTTGTATTCGACTGGAGATACCGCAAGCTATAAATATACTGTTATTAGACGCCATTTCTGTCTCCTCAAATCATTAAGGGAGGGTCCATTTTTCAGAATGTAGTTTTTATTTCTTACTGTCCAGTTATTATACATATAGAGGCCAAAGTAAATTCTAAAATATTTTCTATCCACTATATTTTTCGCCGTTTAATTGCGATGTCTTTTGTTCGTTGACACTCCTCAATGTTCCCAAAAGCGCCTAACCATTTGATCAAGAAATAACAACCGCTCCCACAGTCAAGCTAGCACACAATAAGCTAGCAGACAACAGTTGGGTTGCCATTAGTGATATCCTGACATTTGTTCCCAGAGCTTATGGGTGTTTTTGGGCAATCCAGTATTTTCCTAGTAAGATTGGGTGTCTATACTATCCATATATACCAAATTTACTATACTTTTATTGAAAATAACCACCCGATATATATCTTTTTTTTTCTATATATATAAGAAACACAAACTATGGTACACATCATGCGCATTATTTTCTCTTTGTCAGGGGTGCAGTAAAATTGCCCAGTGATATTTCTGTTATATAAAATGTTCTTGGTATTCCGTTTCCTTTTAAAACAATGTGTAGGAGGATAAGCTGGACAACATAAGTTTAGAAAGAAGAAGGCACAAAGTTAGAAAAAACCCGAGATCACGTGTATATCATTGACGGCATATTAAAGATCCCTTGGTAGTCGTAACAGGCTGCATGGCGTGTATGCGCAGAAAAACAATTACGAAGTCAAACCGCATTGTATTCCATGTTTATCTTTATTTTCGGAATAGGCGCAAATTACAGACGAATCAACCACCACAAAACTCACAACGGTACCAGATGATGCTACCACGACAGCTACCACGACTGGCATGTCACCAACAGTACCAGATGAAGCGACCACCAAAACTGAGATGTTTACAACGGTAGAAGAGGAAACGACCACAACACGAACTACAACTGAGATGTCTGCAACGGTATCAGATGAAGCGACCACCACAGGTACGACGGCTGAGATGTCAACAACGGTACCAGATGAAGCGACCACCACGGCAACCGAGACTCGGATGTCAGCAATAGTACCAGATGAAGCGACAGCCACGGCAACTATGCTTACGATGTCTAAAACGGTACGTCATGAAATAAAAATAAATAGTTAAATTTTCAATGAAACAATTCGATGCCAAGTTCTAAGAAATTTAAAATTCATGCAGCTAAATCGACACTACGTTTATGCGGTTTAAGTGAATCGGATTGTTATAAACCCGAACACACCCTAGAGCAACAGTAACGTCATCACTGACTGAAGTGACCTGGTTTCGATTCACAATTTGTACGTGGCAAGATGTAGGGTCGTTTGTCGCAAGGAGTAGGATCGCTTGTCCAACCTCGTGTTGTTTGTTCAGGTCTTACGGTTTCCTTCCCCTGCTAAAGACTACTACGCACAAGCAATTATTTAAATATAATTGGACCATAAGTTAATCCGAAATGACCTTAAATGTTTCGATTAGACATTGAACCTCTCTCTCTCTCTGCAAGCGACACCAGGTGGGGGTTGGATGGCCGAATTTTTAGCACCTGCGCGCTGTATAATACGGCCTGTCATTGAGTCAACTGGCGGGGTTTCGATTTCCCGGTTGTACGTGACAAGGAGTAGGGTCGCCTGTCCAACCTCGTGGGTTTTCTCCGGGTCCTCCGGTTTCCTCCCACTTCCAAAGACCCCTACGCGCAAGCGAATTATTGAAATAAAATTGAACCATGTGTTAGTCCCGAAATAACTTAGTTTGTGTCAAAGTGTTGTGTCGAGGGAGCCACGTTGGCTAAGTGGTTAAGAGGCTGGATCGCTAGCCTAAAGGTCGGGTGTTCGATCCCTGCATTGGCCGAGAAAGTTCATCTGGATTTTCCGACGTGGCTTCCCCTTGTCAGTGGTGCAGAACGGAGGGCCTGACAAGGACAGTTGTCTAGTCCTTCGGATGAGACGAAAAACCGAGGTCCCGTGTATACATTGGAATGCACGTAAAAGATCCCTTGGCAGTTGGAATTCGATATAAGAGTAGGCGATAGTGCCGCTGCCCGGGCAAAATTTCCCTCATAGCACACTGTATGGCGTATGCCCGTCTTCATTAGCCCAATATAGGAGCAGAACAGTAGGACATTAAACCCCATTTCATTTCATTTCATTTAGTTTGTGTCGAGTGGACGTTAATCTCCATCTCTCTCTCTCTCGACACCTTAGTCCCGAAATGACCTAGTTTGTGTCGAGTGGACGTTAAACCCCATTTCTCTCTTCCTCTCTCGACATCAGGTGTTCCATAAAGAGTAGGCATGTCTTGCCCTCAGTTTTAGTATATGGAAAGAAAAAGAAGAAAAATATAAATAATACTTAGTGTACAAAAGTCTTGTAATGAAGTTATCACTGTTATGTGTACTACACTCGTCATATCAGAAGGGAGTAAGCCGACACTGCTGTGTGTACTACACCCTTCATACCAATAAGCAGTAATTCTACACTACTGCCCTGTACGACATCCATCGTATCATAGAGCAGGCACTCAACACTGATGCGTTTACGACACTCGTCATGTCAGAAATATAGAAATGCAATTAAAAATCTTATAATATTTCGTTCCTACTACTGATACCCTACCCCAAAGCGTTAGTCCCGAAATGGCCTTATTTATTACATTAAAACTATGTATAATTAAAATTCTGATTTCAGACGACGAGTACCAACACGGCAGCTGGTCAAATTTCAGGTAGGTCATGAAGAGCTATGTGTGACAGTAGTAGCATTGTCGAGTCCATTCCTGGTGTGGAGTTTTAAGGTGCGGATTGATGCGATGCAAATGCAATCAAATTCTTAGTGGAGGTCTATATTTTTCGAGTTTCATAACTACAATCTCTGCGTTTGAATTCTAAAACGCTTATGTCTCTGTGATATCTTGGTAGCTGTGTGTCGATTATTTTGCATACAATATATTTTGACGCCCCCATCCCCCTATAAAATTGTGTTTTTCCAACCTGTAAGGACCCAACTTTAAATCAAGGACGCAGAATTCATCCATTTGTCACACGTTTGATAATACATCCGCTATGACTTTACTGGAACAATGGATAAAGGAAATAAAATAAAATGAGGTCTGCTCTGGGCTAATGAAGACGCGCTTACGACATGCAGTGTGCTATGCCCCACTGTTATCTCAATCTGATTCGTTTTTATGTTGCTTTCGATAGTCAGGGCTGAAACGAGCGTATTTTGATCCTATAGCGTTAGTTATTCGATTAACTAAGTGGGCATTCGGAGATATTACTTTTGCCTTGATTTGTTTTCTATCTTGACGAAAGTTTACCCACAAAGTGCTACACCACAGGAACTTGACTTAACATCTGATTGGCTAATCCCTCACATCAACCAGAACACGAGTTATTTAGCAACTGTTTCAAATCTTAGTATAGTGAAGAGAAGTAAATCGAAATTATGAACTATTAAAAACGAAACGAAATTGGACCAGATTGACTCTTTTATCGAACTACAACTGTCAGGGTTCTTATACGTGCACGCCAATGTTTATACGCGACCTCGGGTTTGCGTCACATCCGAACGACTATACGTTGTCCGCCTGTCCTGCACCACTGACAAGGGGGGTGGGGCATACCGAAAAATCTCGATTCCCCGATCGACGTGACAAGGAGTAGGATCGCCTGTCCAAACTAGTGGGTTTTCTCCGGGTCCTCCGGTTTCCTCCCCAGTGCACTGCTAAAGACCCCTATGCGCAAGCGAATTATTGAAATGAAATTGAACCATGTGTTAGTCCCGAAATGACCTAGTTTGTGTCGAGTGAACCTTAAACCCCATTTCTCCCTCTCTCTCGCTAACGTCTTACTCAGCTCACAATGGATAATGTAATGTTGTTGTTGTTTATTACAATTTTAACGACCATTATACATGATATTATGGACAGGTTGATTTAATTAGAATTATTTACACATGAAGAATGCAGGGATAAAAGTAAATTTTGACATTTTTTTACAGGCTGTCATATAAATTTCGACATGGCTAACGCATTTCGAGGTCAATATGGTGGCATCAGAGAAATTCAACCAGATATTTCAAACCCGTCTTTCCAAGTCAAGTGTACACCAATAGTAGGGTTAATACCCATGGGGACACTAGCCACCGTCATACAGCAGAACTTGGAGCAAGATCAGGAGTTTTTTGACAGAGATGTTCAAGAGTTCAAGGACGGATTCGGTGATGTAGCGGGCGATCATTTCATTGGCTTAGATAAGATACATATGTTGACGTCATCATCAGCTTACGACATGATAATGGCTATGGTGAACATACATGGTTCAGATTTAGATCTCGAAGAATACATATACATGAGATATTTCAACTTTCAAATAAGCGATTTTTCAAAAAAGTACAAAATGTCCTATTCGTCATCAAAGGCAATTAAGGCATTGTTTTACGATTATTACGATCAGTTAGAATACCTGAACGGTACCAGTTTTTCTACCAAAGATGAGGATAATGACGGAATAAATTCTATTAACTGTGCTGAAGTAAATAGTCACGGGTTTTGGTATAATTCCGCTTGCAATGGTTGTGATCTAACAGCCTCGCATTGTTACCTGGATGACCTAGTCATTGTTGCAATGGCGTTAATACCGCACACCACAAAGTAATATTCCTTTAATATCGCACACCACAAAGTAATAAACATCGATTTCAAGGATAACCAACCGCTTCTTCAATAATAAAGCAATAATATTCTCAATACAAGCGTTTTTGTTATAATTTCTAGACTAAAAATAGTCTTTAAAATGACTAAAACTCTTTGATTTTGTCCAAAGTATGATTTTCGATTTCCAGAATGACAATCTCCCGCTGTTGAAAATTTTACGTTTAAAGAGACAGCCAGTTTGCAGACTGTTTATATCATTCTGCACAGATAGAACAATGTACTCTGCTTCGAGAGTAGATCTCTGTCCTAAATTAGTATACTGTTTTGTAATGCAGTCCTACTCCGGTTCACATCTGTTGTACAAAAAAAGACTAATTCATCCTTTTCTAATTTGATTGAAATTCTGGAAATATACTTAGTGTTAACGACTAAAATCGTCGATTTAATACTTAGAATGTCGTTCAAGTAGCTTAGTGTCTGTTCGCAAGCGGAGCTAATTGTAGACAGAGAGAGAGGCTTACTCTTCCGGACACCTGTTACCACTGTTCATCATGCATATTGTACATAGTGATTACACTTTTTTGCCGATACCGTTTTTAGGATTTCGAATTTTGTCTAATAGTATGCGGTTTGTGTATCACAAAAAATAAGCGGAAACATCACTGCCCGGGCAAAATTCCCCTCAGATTACAGTTCGTGTTGACAAGCTTCATTGGACCAAAATTGTTTATACCACACAGAGGCAGATCCCCATTAAATTTCACCATCTAGATGACGAAATATAGTTCTAATTTGTATAGCACCTCTCTTTTTCTCCCTTTTTACACCTTTTGCATTTTCGTTGTATTTTGTTTTAAGTCTAGAATCGGAGAACAGGTGTTGAATTAAAATTTTCTGCCAGGTTTGCGAAAGGACAACGGAGTTAAGCATGGTTTGTTACGGTGATATGTATGGCGGGTAGTTTTTAGTATGCTGCTTCAAGTTTGTCCGTGGCCAACCTCATACAAAATTTCGAGCAAAAGACATGTCCATTTGTGGCCCATCTGAAGTGAAAAGCGTTCAGCCTAACGAAAATATGCGGGAAAGTCGAAGCGGGGAATAGAGGCCATTATGGAGAAATTAATGGGGGTCCGCCGCCTTTACATACCCACTTGTGAGCTAAGGAATTTGGAGGTGATTTGCATGTAAATTATAATCAACTTCACCTCATAATGTACTATTATCTATGCCAAGAATATCCTAAGATATATTAATTATTAAGATTCGCCCACACCATATCCTTATTCCTCCGTTCAAGCGATACACTGGAATCACCTCCTCAAAATCGTTGAAGCTAGTAGTCAACAGCCATGCAGAAGTTCTAACCCTTTATTCACCACGGATCCACGGGTTGACTGAAAATGAGAATGTATTTGATAATAGATATTACACGGATACTGGTAATTAGAAAGTAATGGTAATGATTACGTTTAGGAAGTAGTGGCAATGATTACGTTTAGAAAGTAATGGCAATGATTACATGGATACTGGTAATTGAAATGAAATGAAATGAAACGGGGATTAACGTCCTAGTGTTCTGCTCCGACAGGGATAGTGAAAACGGCCATACGCCATACAGTGTGCTATGAGGGAAATTTTGCCCGGGCAGCGGCACTATGGGCTACTCTTATATTGAATTCCAACTGCCAAGTGATCTTGTAGGAGCACTCCAATGTATACACGGGAACCCGTTTTACCATCCATCCGAATGACTAGACAGCCGTCCTTGACAGGCCCTCCGCCCTGCACCACTGACAAGGAGAAACCATGCCAGAAAATTCCGATGAACTTCCTCGGTCAATAAATGCTGGTAATTAATCGTATTTCTGAAATGAAAAAGTAATCGTAATGATTATATTTAGACAGTAATGACAAGAAGTCAGAAAATGGAACGCTGTAGAAGCAGATGTACGACTCTTACAAACTGTCAAAATAGTCATTTTGGAAGCAGACGTCAAGGTCAAGGCAGCTTTTTGTAATTACAAATGAAATGAAAATGAAATGAAAATGAAATGAAATGGGGTTTACCGTATTACTGTTCTGCTCCTAAACTGCATCACTGACAAGGGGAAACCACGCCGGAAAACCTGGATGAACTTTCTCGGCCAATGCAGGGTTCGAACACCCGACCTCCAGGCTAGCGAGCCAGCGTCTTACCCACTTAGCCAGGTGATCCCCTTTTGTAATTACAAGAGATAATTCTTATTATTTTTTGTAATTACAAGAGATAATAAGAAACTAGCCAAACCCAGTACTAATAACGTGATGGTGTTTGGAAAACAATACAATAGCATAGCATACATGAAAACCTCACTCAGTACCATTTGTATCAGACATTTCAGGAAGAATCAATCCAAGAAAAGCATGATGTGATAATGGATTGCTGTATGGAGTTCTGTTCAAACATCTAACATTAACTTTAATACGACGTTATATTATATATTGTATAATTGTTTTAATGGTTTTATTCCCCGTTAAAAATCAATTTTATCTTAAAACATTTAATTGTTGTTCTCTCTAAGCTGGTTAGATATCGTGTCGAGATTGCTGCATATTTAATATGTAAAAGAGCTGATCTTATCAGAAAAGCTGAGAATCACGATCATAACTTATGATTCATGAATATATTTTTGTTTAAAGATGAAACATTGTTTTCGCTATTAAGAAATTGTATCTGGATTTGATCATTACACTACCTATAAGATAATGTAAGGTACAGACATATGACCCCGAATACGAAAGCCCAGAAGGCTCATTCCAAATTCCAAATTCATGTCTTATCAATAAAATAGCAAATTGGCAGCCCCCTCTTAAACAAATTAGAATTTAAATAAATTGTAATTTTACACAACTAATTAGTGCTAGTTTACCTATCTGATGATTGGACCGGAAAAACACAAGTTCCAAATTACTAGATTAAAAATTTTAAATTCCAAATGCGAAATTCGAAATTCATTTCTTACCAATAAAATAGCAAATTGGCAGCCCCCTGAATTAAACAAATTAGAATTCAATAGGATAAAACAGTTTGATAGTTGCTAGATTTCACAAGATAAACAGAATAGATAACCTTAAGTGAGAGATAAATAATACGCGGGTTGCAATGAGAAAATCAGCACGTTTTAATTTAGGGTCAAGGTCTTCATAGGTGAAATGTTCATTTTAGGTGCTCACTTTTAGAAGACTTTTGTGTAAAGCCACAAAGACAATGATCCACCGTCGTGTCCTTTTCATTCAACCACAGTGGTTCCTACCCAAAGGGAACCACAGTGTCTCCATAATTAAGGTACTGGCTCACTAACCTAGTGGTTCTGCTTTCTATCCCGGTTGTGCTGCCAAAGGCTTACCTCTGGATTTTCCTGACAAGGGAGAAGGATGTCAAGTCGTCTGGGTGGTACGAAACAACGAGGTCCGATGTAAACGTTCGGATGCACGGTACAGACGACAGTTGAAATCGGAAATGAAAGTAGGCCGTGATGAATCTGTTATCCTCCAGTGGGTGTCTTAATTCTTTATCAGTGATCATGGCACCTGTTTAAGCTACTATCACCTCTATCGCCATGAGATTTCGAAAGATAAGATTTATAGGAAATCCTGATATAAGTGGCGACTATCAAGACAAATCAAGTACTGACTCAGGTTAACGCAGAGGGGCGACATGATTTTCTTACTTCTGCTCTTGCCGGAACTTCTGGTCGCCCAGAACTTATTTCAGAATCCTGGTTTTGAAAGTACGAGTGGTTGGGTATGCAATACCTGTACTGGAAGCCTTTCGTCTGATAAGCATGGAGGTTCCCATAGTTACAAAGTTACAGGAAGGTAGGTGTGAATCAGAGTTGTTTAGTGCATCGTCTCGATTAAAGTGAAAAGAAATGGGCTAATGGAGAAGTGGGGAACATTTTCACGGAGAGTGACGCTATGGTCTACTCTTATTTTGAATTCAGCCTGGAAAGTGGTCTACTTCTAGAAAAGACTAGGCAATTGCTCTGAGCCCGCACCACGGTGGGATCACGTGACTAAGTGGGTAAGACGCTGGCTCTCTAGCCTGAAGGTCGGGTGTTCGATCCCTGCATTGGCCGAGAAAGTTCATCCTGATTTTCCGGCGTGGTTTCCCCTTGTCAGTGATGCAGGACGGAGGGCCTGACAAGGACAGCTGTCTAGTCCTTCAGATGGGACGAAAAACCGAGGACCCGTGTACATATTGGCGTGCACGTAAAAGATCCCTTGGCAGTTGGAATTCGATATAAGAGTAGGCGTAGTGCCGCTGCCCGGGCAAAATTTCCCTCATAGCACACTGTATGGCGTATGCCCGTCTTCATTAGCCCAGTTTAGGAGCAGAACAGTAGGACGTTAAACCCCATTTCATTTCATTTCCGCACCACGGCCGCTGCTCCTGACAAGTCAAAATCACGACGGTTCTTCTCAGTCTATCCCGGGACGTGAAGCAGTGACATTCTAGTTAGTAGGCCAATGTCCTGTCTCGCTACTACCACGACCGACTTGAGCGATGTGTAAGTCAGGTTACTTTCAACTAAGAAACAGCTGGTCTTCAGGATGATTATCTGGCTCATTCGGCTATATCGACTTTGTCTATCTATGTCTATCTGATTTTTGGATTGCAACCTAACTAATATTTATCTCTTGCTAGATGTTATCTGTTCTAATATTTATCTCTTGCTAGATGTTATCTGTTCTATTTATCTTGTGAATCTAAGAACCTGGGACATTATTCATGAAATCTTAAAACACCAACGCTAAAATATTAAGGATGCAGTCATTTCATTGGTTGATGGTTAACAAATGTAAGCTCTTGGCCAACGAAAGGCCTAATTCGTAAAATATTTTGAGAATGCCGCCATTTCATTGGTTGGGGATTAACACCCTTGTACTAATTTAAGTTATTGGCCAATAAAAGGGCAGAATTCCTAAATTATTTGATTTTTAGTTTTCATGAATATGGCCCATTGTCCGAATCATTGATCTTGTCGACCATGCATGGCGGAGAGCTTAAGAATAGAATGAAATGGAAATCAGAGGCTCCGTGTACTCATTGACGTGCATGTAAAAAAACTATGGCAGTTGAGATGAAACGCTGATGTTCGAGCTAAATGTCCCAGCACCAACCCAGTTGGAGAAGATAAATAGAACGCTAAACTTGATTTTCACTTCATTTCTATGCCACGGAGTTCTTTTTTATGACACGCGTCTTCCAATACTGGACTAAAGCCGTTAAAATTACATTTTAGAAAACTGCATACTTTACAATATGGCAAAGATCTTCACAACAACATTAAAGAAAATAACGTTGTTTCAAGATTAATAAAACAAATTCAGTTAGGCCACAACAATGCAATTTTCTCTTCTTTGGAATCCCTGAAAAAAAGAAATAGCCACTTGAATCATGTGAACAGTGGTTTTGTTAAAAAAAAAGTAAAATAATTGGACCTAAAAGCCGTCGAACAGCACAACCGGGTAGTTTATATTTTTTTTTATAAATCTTTTCCCGGCGATATAAGAAGAAAACGTTTTACATGAATTCCCGAGGTTATCAAAGAACATTAATTGATTTATTATTTATAATAGACAACATGATTGGTCTGGAGCTAGTCAAGATCTCCATCTAGCAGCAGGACACACTTATTATTTTAAAGTGCACGTGAAAATATTAAATACAGTTAATGGTAAACAGTATCACGATGTAGTGACTATGTTGGACATTGTCGATAACAATGGTAAGATATTTGCCAAATAATTTGATACGTTCACAATATTGGCAAGCTCCTTGGTCCATTACCACTTGAAGCTTCTGATCGCCAAAATAGGGCATGAAGTCTGCTGGATATGGTCGATAGCAATGGTAAGATATTATTTGAGAAATACTTTGATAAATTCAAAATATTGTCAAGCGCCTTTGCCCATCATCATTGCGAAGCTTCTTGTCGAAAACAATAGGGCCTGACGTATGTTGGATATTATTGATAGCAATGGTAATATCTTATTTGCTAAAGACTTTGATAAGCTCCTTTGTCCATTAAAAGAAGCTTCTGTCTAAAGGTTCTGACATTCTGCAGCCTATGGATATTTCTTCTTTGCTAAATAGAGGTTGGGTGGTCGAGTGGTTAACGCGTACGTGTTGGATCATAGGGTCTTTTTTTGAATCAAGTGGCGTGTTTTCGATTTCCTGCTTGTACGTGACAAGGAGTAGAGTCGCCTGTCCATCCTCGTGGGTTTTCTCCGGGTCCTCCGGTTTCTCCTTACTGCTAAAGATCCCTACGCGCAAGTGAATTATTGAAATAAAATTGGACCATAATATGTTAGTTCCAAAATCAGCTAGTTTGTGTCGAGTGGACGTAAAACCCCATTCCCCCCCTCTCTCTGCTATAAAATGAAATCAATCAGAAATATTGGCATCGTCCATTTCTCTCATAGCACTGTATGGCACATGGTTAATCTCCATTAGCTCTGTCGGTGCAGAAAATTAGGAAATTAAACCCCATTTCATTTTAATTTCTATCTTTAGGTAACCACAAGTATGATTCACCTGGTTCGACTAAATTTGTTACACCTGGTCAGTGGCATCTTGTGGGTGGTGATTACCACATTCCTAGTAATAGTAAGTATAGCTAAGTGTTGATTACCATACTCCTAGTAATAGTAAGTATAGCTAGATACATACATCGGGTTCTGTTAGCAACGTCCTTTGCACAAATAAAGACGTTGTTCCTGGGGATCATTTGTCAGATTCTTGCTTACTATCGGTTCTTACTACACCAATGCATTCATTAAAGACCATATGTTAATAGGCTTCCTGTGGGTACTAGTGGGTTAAAGCATGAGTGTAGGGTCAGCCGGGTCAGTCAGATTATTGCTTATAGCTAAGTGGTGATACCACATTCCTAGTAATAGTAAGTATAGCTAGATACATACATCGGAAACCTAACATTGAACGAACCTTGAACTTTGTAACTCGATTATCACAGGTAGACATTTTTGCTGGAAAGCGCGAGTCTGGGTATTTGCGATAATCGAGGAATCTGATAGGCTCTCATTCTGGGTCAGTACCGAATTGAGGATGGTTAGCAACATGCTGCACGCAAATACAGACGTAGTTCCTAGTGAACATTTGTCAGATTCTTGCTTACTACCGATTCTTTTAGAACACTATTGCAATCATTAAATGCCACACAGATGCATCGTCCAGACTAGTGGGTTAAAGCATGAGTGTAGGGTCAGTCAGCTTATTGCTTATTATCGATTCTTGCTTACTACCGATTCTTTACAAACATTATTAAATTTATTATACATACGCCTGGTTTCCATGAACAAACCCAGAACACCTAGAACATGGCCCTGCCAGATTCGTACTTCCGATCGGTGAACATGCAAAGCCTTTATAGACATAATAAAGATACCAAATAAGCATAAACCGTTCAATATTACCAACGAGATGAACTATGACTACATTTTTTACTAAGTGTTTTATTTTATGTAATATCCCATATTACTTGTTTTTCTATCTCAGCGAAATCCGTTAGATTTTACGTCCAGACAAAAGAGCCTGGTGTTAATTATTTGATTGATGATGGTGAATTAACACAAGTTCAAACATTATCACAATTTGCCAGCGATGCTAATAAGGGAATAGATCATAATAGAAAAGCCAACTTAAAAATCAGGTACGCTAATCCGAGGTATAGTATAAGGATGAAGACCACTAAATATTTTCGCGTTGGCTTTTTTAAACCTGTTTCCACCTCTAAATGGTAAATCGTCACCCACACAGAACATTCCAGTTAATATCCTCTATTTAACCAGGAGCCACGGTGGCTCAGTAGGTACGATGCTAGATTGCTAACCTGGAGGTCCCGTGTTCGATCCCTCGTTGGCCGGGATTATCCGACGTGGTTCCTCCATGTCAGTGGTGCAGGACCCAGGGCCTGGCAAGGGACAGCGTATAGTCGTTCGAAAACCAGAGGTCCCGTGTACACATCGACGTGCTCGTTAAAGATCCTTTGGCAGCTGGAATTCGACGCTGTTCGAACAGGACAGTAGGACGTTAAACCTGATTTCATTTCTTTTCGATCACAATATCATTAGGAGAGGACGGGGTGGAGTGACTATACATTCATTACAGGTGGTTTACCTCTATATTTTTCATATGTTCTAATAATTCGAGAAGACATCGGTTAAGATGTCAATATGTTTCTATATTTAAGATGATCTGTTATTTGAGAAGAATGACGCATGTGCGTTTTATTAAATTCTATTTCTATTTTATTTTATAGCAAAAGCTATACGATGGATTAAAAGTAATGTAATATCGATTTTGTACAGAATTTGCTGTAACCGAATTAATATAACGTTTAATGAAATAATGCGAATTATTAAAACATTCTACTATTTCTAACAAACCTAATAATAACAAATAATGTAATGTTGATATTGCTGGATCTACTTAACATTTAGTAGCTGACGTCGCTATAGGGTTAAATATAATGACAATATATAATTATTTGTCCACAGTTTAAGCGGAAGTTCTTATCCGTCTGGAATTAAAGTTGAGGTAAGCACTGAATGTTAATGGTATTTTATTTTGAATGGCTTAAATATATATTTAATGGATAAAACGCATTTTATGTCATTATCTGAGAGGAGGTCCCTCGTCTCATCTCGTCGCCAGAACAAGCAATCGATATAATTGTGTAGTTTAAAAATTTGGTTAAAAAAAAATGGAAGTCGACCTAATTACCAAACCAAATGTAGTTTCATCCTTTTTGTAAAACCCTGTCAACAGTGGAAAACCAAATCGGCTGTATGTCAACACATGTTTCATCTAAATACGTCATCTGTCATCACACACACAAAAAAACCCAACAAAAAACAAAAAAATCAAATAAAACACAATACATTGAACAATTTATTTACCCCGATAAGGGCGGTGTAATTATTTTCATACTGTATTATTTAATCTTGTTTCAACGGTAACGGAAGCCGCGGTGGGCCAGGGAGTAAGACCGTGAAAGTTTCCCGGTATGGTAAATGGTGTAGGAACAACGTATAGCCGTTTGGATGGGACGAGCAACGGTGTACACATTGACATGCACATAAAAGTGTAATTCGTAATAACATTTGGCCGTAGCGCCGCTGTCCGGCAAAATTTCCCTCAAAGTATACATCATGGCATTGCAGAACAATAGAACGTTACATCCAATCTCATTTCAATTGTGACAACTAATAAAATCCAATAATATCGAAAATTATTTACCCAAATCAGAGAAGGTTCTAGCCATTTTAACAATGATATATTATCAACAGATTCAACAAACCCGAAGTGAATTTGGTTGGGGTTCCGCCGTTAACGTTAATTACATCCACGACTCCAGTCATAAACGCTATCAAGATTTCTTCTACGATATATTTGAATGGGCAGTATTAGAAAATGCTTTAAAATGGCCATTTCTCGAATATAGCAAGGTAAGGCGCATTTTACTAATAAATAGAGTATCAAACATCAATGTACATTTAATTATTAGTCCAGTGTCATAAGTGTCATTTTGGAATGCAATCAGAACGATAAATGTTCGTGTATTTTACATTCACCGCTATAGTTTAAAAATAAAAGATGTTGGATATGGATGTAAATTCGTTATCTCCGCGGTAAACCTAGCGTAATTTCAAACATCAGTGCCAACTATGTGTAATGCAAATCAAGATGGTAAATGTTGAAGTATTTTATTGTCACAGCCATAACCCATTTAAAATTGAAAAATACTGTGTATGGATGTAAAAGTAATAGGTTTCTTTTTTGTATTCACAGGGGAATTTCCAACCCGGTAATGCCATGAATGCTATTAATTCCATGCGTGTTAAAGGGTAAATTTGATTGATAAATTGCCACAGTATTCAAATTATAATGATTCCAGTCCCGTATTATTGGACGATTGTATTTTGTTACACTTGTCACCACGCCCATCCATCTGCGGAGTGAATTCCTCGAGATTCCCATTTCAATGGTAAAGGACGTAGGGTTTGACAAGGTACAGCTTCTAGTTATTGTGTTGTCCTAAACACCGAGAACACTTGTCCACGCGGGAGTGTAGGCGAGAGAATCCTTGGCAGTTGAAATTGGAAGAAAAGCTGTTTGAAACGTAACGCACTGTTCAGTCAAATTGTCCGTTATAGTGCACTGATGGCAAATTCCAGTTATCATAAGCTCAGTTCGTTCAGAAAAGTAGGACATTAAAGGACCTAAGTCCGTAACTCAAAATCCTCCAAAATCTTCGACATCGAAAACACGAATTATTGGTCAATTTAAATCAACATTGATGAGTTTCTGATATCCGATATTTAAGATAAAATAATTTTTTTAACATTGGTACACGAATCGTGTACCATAATGCGCTTCAGCCCCAGTTGTATTGAGAGACTCGAGGGACGAGGCTAGACACATTGCACCAAATCAAATGGAGTTATGTAGACTAGAATAACTAGACTCTAAAAATTTGCACTCGATTGAGATTGCTGACTTATTTCGCCTAACATAACTGATTTGAAATTGGAGTAAAAACGGAAACCATTTAATGTAAATCAGTTTATATACATTCATATTACAGTATTATATGTGTTGCGACCCACTTTTGTGAATTTCTAGGTCCCAAATGTTAGCGATTTAGCTCCTTTAAACCCTTTTAATGTTGCTTAAAATTCAAGATATTATCACTAATCGAAATGTACCCTTTTTTATTAGTATAAAGGTCAGAGGTCATAATATATTTTGGGGAGGATCGGATGTTGTTCCGTCGTGGCAGAAATCAATGTCTGGATCGGAATTTAAACCACTCTTAGAAAAACATATGAGTGATATGGCTAAAACATTCAGGGCAAAGTAAGTAGATATTTCGTATCCATTAAAGTTTACCAAGGTGCTGGTTGACCGAATGATCTGCAAGCGAATTATATGTTGGTTGGTTGGTTGGTCGAATGTTGTGCAAGCGGGTTATTTGTTGGTTGTCCGAATGATCTGCAAGTGAATGATATGTTGGTTGGTTGAATGTTCTGCAAACGAGTAGTGTGTTGGCTGTCCGAATGATCTGCAAGCGAGTGATTTGTTGGTTCACCGAATGGTCTTTAAATTGTTTTAGTCAGCCAGAGCAATAATGCTCACCTGTAAGTCTAATCTAAGCTTGACATATCTAAAGCATATTAATATGTCTGTCAATTTTACCAAGTGATGTCATGACCTATCGCAATAAGTTAATCACGATTATTGGGCATATCACATGGCCTTCGCCGCATTCACCGAGATGCCGCAATGGCGTTGTGAATAAAGCATTTGATCACTAACCTGAAGATACCGGGTCTGATACCTATGTTGGTCCAGAATCTTCTCCGGAATATTCTAGCGTGGTTCCCCCCCATGTCAGTGGGCGCAGGACGGAGACTCACGTTGGCGTGCACGTAAAAGAACCCTTGAAAGTTGGAATTCGCTATAAGTGAAGACTGTAGCACCACCGTCTGTCTACAGGTAGCTCCACTTTAGAACATTGTGATATATCGATTTTACACACGATCTTCAGGTTCCAGCATTGGGATGTGGAAAATGAAAATCTACATCTCCACTTTTACGAAGATAAGTTACGAGACCCTCACATCACTGAATGGATGTTTCGAGAGATGCACAGAATAGATCCTCCAACTCAACGATATTTGAATGACTACAGCATTGTTGATGGTGGACAGTCGACAATGGTCAGTAGATGTAAATATATCTGATATCTCGAGAATTTCACTCTTCTAAATATCAATCTAATTGAAAGTAGATTCCAATTTTGTTTCGTATATTGTTTAGAATTTTTAAAAAAATAAATCCACTAAGATTACAATTTGTTTCGTTGACTACATTCTGATTTTCACCCCCCGCCCAAGGCAGAGATATCTAGATCTCAATACAGATTCTCCTAAACCATGATCAATCAAACGTTAGTTCCTCGATACAGTTAGTCTAGATATGCCTAGTTGTTAACGTTGTATTGTAATCAGGGCGTATATTAATGTAATTATTTTGAATTCTTCAGGCCTATGTAGACCAAGGAATGCGTTTTAAATCTGCTGGAGTACCTGTATCTGGTATGGGCATACAGAGTCATCTCGTTGGTGATATTGACATTTCTGCTATTAAGGTAAAGTATTATTAAATGAAATGAAATCAGGTTTCATGTTTTAGTTTTGGGCGTTCTCTTATTTCGATCTTTACGTGTACGTCAACATGTACTCTGTTTTTGTCACATCTGTACTTTTCTTGCTTCAAGGGTACGCGAAGGTCAAAGGAACACGTCATATCTATTATCTAAAGTCATGTTAAAGATACATTATGTAAGATTTAGATAAAGCGCTGGTCATTCTCGCTATAATATTTCAAAAATAGATAATAAAAATGAACATACTGTGAATTTCATTCAAATCACTTTATTTTGCTCAAAGTTATCAATGGTTGTAGTTTTGACAAGATGCGTGCATCGATCGTAACTACCGTACTGGTCATTCGAGTCTTAGCCTCGCTTCTCTATTTATAAATTATATAAATAAGGTCGAACTGTTCTTATCTACTTAAAATCGCAGGAATCCGATTGCATCGAGCGTTGGTTATGCTCTTGTGATGTTAATAAATGTCTAATTAATAATTTATATAACATTTAAGGCCCAAAGAAAGATCTACAATAGACAGATTTAGGTCTTACATAATGCCGGTTTAAGTAAACACGTTGATAAGGGGTGGGGCTGTATTCCTGTATTTAATCAACTTGTAATAATGAAGGATGTAGCTCGCGCGAAACAGGATATGCTTACTCTTTACGAAACAGTACACCTGATACACCACGCATTCACTAGAAGCACGTTTATCTGTTCCTGTTGTAATGTCTTCCCGCGGAACTTTACGTTAGCTAGTAGCATATCCTATTAAGAAAAGAGCTAACATCTGACCTATTCGTTCATTCAATTATGGTTCTTAACTTCCGATTTCAACCGGTTGTACTGTTTATATTTTAGAGAAGACTGGACGAAGTGGCTAAAGTCGGATATCCTATCTGGATAACCGAGTTAGATATAAGCCAGGGGGACAATCATAAGAAAGCGCAATATTATGAGGACGTCATGAGACTATACTTCAGTCATCCAGCAGTTAAAGGTGTTATGTTCTGGGGATTCTGGGATGGAAAACATTGGCGACCACAAGCTGCACTTGCAAATGGGAATAATGTTACGGTGAGAGAAGACCTTTCCATTTTTTATATTTAAAGGTACAGCAAATTAGTGACCCAAGTAGCGAACGATGTCGGGCACGGAATATTGTACACCACTTGACACTTCCTCTACTTTCAAATCATGCCATTATTGATGGAATCTTCGATCAAGCATGATAGAACCCATACGATTGAGTAATCGAGGTCCTTCAGGCACAAACCAGGTCATCCACATTAAAAAGTCCACAATATGCACTATTTTCTTTTTACTAGAAAGCACATCCGAGTGGTCAGTACTGAAACAATTCCACCATTATTATAATGAAATAATGCGTTTTTGTAGTTAAGTACATCGGGGTATTTGTGTAATTCACCCGGGGGTTATGGTGCAAAATGTGAACTTCAAGTGACCACAACTATTTATAAATGAAACGACTTCTGTTTGTGGTTGATCTTAAACCAAAAAGGCGCGTTTGTTAGTAATGCAATGGAGGACGTCTTTATAATATTTTACGATTTCGGTATGTTTAAATCAGACGAGTATACCATGACTGAAACTTTCATTATTTAACTTTGTTAATGACATTCACAGCCAAATGAAGCAGGGAAAAGGGTACAGCAACTGCTAAAACATACATGGAGAACCAACGAATCACATAATATAAGTCACGGTCAGACAGTCAGTATCAGAGCTTTTAAAGGTTCCTATAAATTACTGGTACACCATAATGGTAAAGTTATTCATACCGAGAACTTCAGTCTTGGTCAAGCTGGAAACACTCTAAAAGTTAATCTAAGTGGATCAGGTAAGCTTTGTTACTTGACCAGCAACTAGGTACCAAGAAATCCCTTCTTGCTTTTGTTGGTTGATCTTCTTCTTGGGGCGACCAATTCAAGTACGATCGGCATGGTTCTTGACTTGGTTGTTCCTTGGACAGTTGCACGTGGATTGGCGGATATGACATCACAATTCCATGATGGCGGCAAGGGCGTAAAGCTCAGTTTCTGTTCCATAGTACGCCCATACTTGTGTTTGTATAGTTCAGATTACAAATAGTGTGTCTATTATATATCAGTTGTATACAGATAGTTTCATGAATAACTGTAATATTAAATATATATTCCTCAACTTCCGATCGAGCAGTTCACATATCGGGCAGATTTTCATGTCGTTATTGGCCATTACTTCTATTATTTCAACCTCGTAAGTTTTCTCCGGGTCCTCCAGTTTCCTCCAACTGCTAAAGACCCCTACGCGCAAGCGAATTATTGAAATATAAATTGAACCATTGCCTAGTTTGTGTCAAAAACCTATAACACCCCCCCCTCTATCTCTCAATTGTTTCATACTACGAATTTGATATAGTTATAAGAGTTGTACTAGAAAATTATAAAGGAGATATTTTTCTGTTTCCATGGAAACAGATTGGTCTAATTTTTGTTTATACAAGTGTGAGTGAGGCTTTTTGTTATTTTAAATAATAATTTCCAAGACCAGGTTTCTTATAATTGGAACTGGTGTTCCAGAAGTATCATTGAAACTGGATTTTTGTTTGTTACAGGCTCAAATCCACATGTTGATAACGTTTTAATTGGTTGATGGAGGAAAGCGACGCAGATATGGTTTAATGTTAATATTTGAATGTATGAAATAAATCTTAGATATGGTTGTATCGGTGCATTGTTTTATGTAGTGTACCTCCATTACCATAGCCACGAACCTTGATGAGATATATTTTACAATAAAAATCATGTTGGATGTTGATCAGGCAATGCAATTAGATTAACCCGAAATTATAATTTATTTTTGAATATTAATTTTATGGGCGTCGCCATCTTTCCTCCAATATTTCGGGCATGGTAACAAGAAAGACCGGATAATTTAGCATATGTCCTAGATATACCCAAACTATCTGTCTGAATGATAGAGTCTACAGTCATAGGGCGTGTTCCTTACAGATTCAAAATCCGGATTATACCTCGATCAGACAAATCTACACAAAAACCGATTTAATAATATATATATAATAATTTAATAATATTATTAATAATAAAATGATATTAGAACGGATGAGTTCAAGTACGAATATAACAGGGGAATCACGTGGCTAAGTGGGTAAGACGCTGGCTCGCTAGCCTGTAGGTCGGGTGTTCGATCCCTGCATTGGCCGAGAAAGTTCATCCAGATTTTCCGGCGTGGTCCCCCTTGACAGTGATGCAGGACTGTCTAGTCGTTCGGATGGGACGAAAACCGAGGTCCCGTGTACACATTGGTGTGCACGTAAAAGATCCCTTGACTGTTGGAATTCGATATAAGAGTAGGCCGTAGTGCCGCTGTCCGGGCAAAGTTTCCCTCATAGCACACTGTATGGCGTATGCCCGTCTTCATTAGCCCAGTTCGGAGCAGAACAGTAGGACGTTAAACCCCATTTCATTTCATTTCATTTCACGAATATAACAACTACAAATAATAAAATAAGTATACGTACAAATATAACAACGTTGATCAGAATGAATGCACATGTTACTCAAAGTATTTAATTTTACCAGTATTCGTTTGGAGTCTCCTTTACTTTCGGTGCTTCTACTGCTTTGATGTAGTAGTTTGTAGACAGTATTTTACAGATGTCTTCTCGGCGTTGGCGTAGTAATTCCAGAGTTGGCAGAATTACACAGGATCTTGATCTTCCAAACCTGAATAATCCTTCAATCGGTATGATCCGATGTGATAATAATCCACAACAATAATCTTGAACTTGGAGATAATTTCTCTTAAAATAGGAAAAATGTAAAACAGAGAGATAATTTCTTTGAATAAAAGCACAATAAATGCAACGGCACGAAATGGCAATAAATCGAGAAAACAGACCACGTGGGTCAAATAGAAACCTATACGATCAACATCTAGCTCTGGTAAGAAACTTCTACCCTTAGACCGGTCCGGCTTATATAGTTTTAGGAAATTCTAGAACTTTCTGGAACATTCGCCACAACGTTTTCCAAGTACAATCGCCTAAAATTTAAATAAACGATAGATTGTGAGCAATTATCAACTCAACCCTGTCATGAGTCAGGGAAATATTGCCCCCCCCCCCTCGATCTCGATGTAAGAACCGCACACATAATTACATTTATAAAAAACTGAATACAGATAACCCAAGTAGCAAACATACAAAATAGGGTTAAAATTCACCAATTGAGAGAGGTAGTCGCAAATGTCTAATTTTGCTCGGTCAAAACAAAGTTTCACCGCCTTTTTTTTCCTGAGGATTATATTAGTCTCTTTCTGAGACGTATTACTCATCCAAATCCTCTTTGTACTTTTCGTATAATATAGACATGACAGAACCCAGGATTAAAGAGTGGGAACTATTATAAAGTAATAGTTTATATCTTGTTTGTGTCGAGTGGACGTTACACCCCCCCCCCCCAACTCTCTCTCCCCACCCCCTCTCTATCTCTCTCTTATAAAACGAGAATACAATACACAAACGTAGATCTTATTTATTCCCGCTCACACCATATCCTCTCCGTTCAGGCGATAAACTGAAATCACCTCCTCAAAATCGTTGAAGCTAGTAATCAACAGGCATGCAGAAGTTGTAGCCCTTTATTTTGGTTATAACGATCATAATGATTACATTTCGACAGTAATGGTAATGTAATTCATTACATTGGCAACGTAATGACACCAGCCCTGGCGCAAGAAGTCAGAAAATGGAACGCTTTAGAAGCAGCTGTGCGATAAGTAAATAGCCAAACTCAGTACTAATAATATGATGGTGTTTGGTAAACAATACTATAGCATACGTGAAAACTTCACCCAGTATGAAGAACCAATCCAAGAAAAGCATGATGTAACTGATAATGGATTGCTGTATGGAGTTTTGTTCAAACATCTAACGTCAGCTTTAATACGACTTTATATTATATATTGTATAATTGTTTTAATGATTTATCCCCGTTAAAAATCAGTGGTATCTTAAAACATTTAACTGTGGATAGAAGAATTTACCATAAATATTTAATCTGTAAGAGAGCTGATCCTATCAGAAAAGTTGATCTCACTATCACCGTTTATAAGTTATGTTAAACGCGCCATTTTAAGCAATATATATATATCAGTTCTATACTGGTTTAATTTCGTTCATTCAGTATTTAAAAAGATACGTTGAATTGAAATTTCACAGATCTATGCTGCTCGTTATGCAATGAACCCGTATTTTGATTTTGCTTTCTTAATTAAATGTTAAATATGCAGTCTGAGTATACATGTTGGCGTGAAATAAGCTGTAAGAAATCCGATATATTAGAGACAATTGCCAGTTACGAATCGTTACTTGTTTGATTTGAAGAACGTGGTGAAACTGAATAAAAAAGAGTTCTGTTGTTTTTTTTAGATTTTTACAAGATAAACAGAATAGATAACCTCAATGAGAGATAAATAATACGCGGGTTGCAATGAGAAAATCAGCACATTTTAAGGGTCAAGGTGTTCATAGGTGAAATGTTGATTTTAGGTGCTTACTTGTAGAAGACACTTTGTAAAGCCCCAAGGAAAATGATTCAGTGTCTTGTGCTTACTCACTAATACAGAAGTCACGCGTTCGATCCCAGTTGTGTGGCTGAGAAAGTGCCTCGGGTTTTTCCACAGCGGTTTGTCCATACTGGACAGGGGGTGACAAGGAACAGTGTCTAGTTGTGTGGATGGTACGACAAGCCAAGTTCCTATGTAAACGTTACCGTGCACGTAAAATAAGCCTTGACAGGAGGAATTCGAAATAAAAAGAGGCCGTGGCGAATCTTTCTCGACACAATTTCCCTTATTCCAAACTGCATGGTGTATGCCCTTCTTCATTAGCTCATTCCACTTCCGACCCAGGGACTGTTTTATTCTGCTTTATCCAGCAGATGTCCTAATTCTTTTAGTGTAACCATAGCACCTCTTTAAGCTACTATCAACTCTGTCGTCATAAAATTGCCAAAGATAAGATTTATAAGAAATCTTGCTATAAGTGGCGCCTATCTGACAAATCAGTACTCATTCGGGTTAACGCAGAGAGGCGACATGATTTTCATACTCCTGCTCTTGCCTGAACTTCTGGTCGCGCAGAACCTATTTCAGAATCCTGGATTTGAAAGTACCAGTGGTTGGGTATGCAATTCCTGTACTGGTAGCCTTTCGTCTGATAAGCATGGAGGATCCCATAGTTACAAAGTTACAGGAAGGTAGGTGTGAATTAAAGAAAATCGGCTAATGGAGAAGAGTGGAACATTTTTCCCGGAGAGTGACGCTATGGTCTACTCTTATTTTGAATTCAGCCTGGCAAGTGGTCTTTTACGTACACGCCTTTTCTACTTCTAGAAAGACTAAGTAATTGACCCGTGTCAGTTCGCTATGGGGGACATTTTTTCCGAACAGTGGCGCCAGGGCCTAATCTTGTTTTATATTCAACCCGTCATTGATTCTTTTACGTGCATGCCAATGTGTACATAGAGGCCTCATTTTGTTGTACCACCCGGACAACTAGACGCTGTTTCTTGCCAGGTTTCCTGTCCCATGCCTCCTTTCCTAGGCCTCCTGTCTTTTAAAACTGATAAGGGAAAACTGGTAAATCGCCGAGAAACCCCGAGAGTCCCGGACCAAACAGCTTTTTATTCAGTGTTCATAGTCCTTTAGTCTTATTTCTTCATTTGTTGTCGTATTTCGACATCTGTACACTAAAATTAGCATTTATATCTTAAAATCAATATTTGTTTTACAAATCAGACATTTGTCATATCAGATTTGTAAAATGTATTTTAATTGTACTTTAATATAAAGATAAAATTTATTTTAGCCTACAGAGAAATATAACGAAAAACAAATCTGGAACAACAAATTTCTAAATACAAATCTTCAAATACAAATCTTTCAAAACATTTCTCCAAAAACATTTCTTCTATAACATTTCTCCAAAACATTTCTTGGAATCCATCGAACCGGAATATTATGACGACATGAGCGAAAATCAACCTCGAATAAAATAAGTCACCATACAATAATGATGAATCGAGCAAGCATATACACAGTAAGAAAAATCGCTCGATGACCGCGACTCTAGTGAAACCACGTATGGAAGACCAAAAAGGTCTTTATTCAGTGTTCTTAACTCTTAGTTCTTAATTCGTAGTCCTTAAATCTTATTTCTTCATTTGTTGTCGTATTTCGACATTTGTACACTAAAATTAACATTTGTATCTTAAAATCATTATTTGTTTTACAAGTTAGACATCATCATATCAGATTTGTAAAATGTATTTTTGTTTAATTTAATTTTATTTTAATATAAAGACAAAATTTATTTTAGTAAATCAAAAAAATAGAAAAAAATAATCTACATTTACATTTCATCATAGACATACAACGAAACAAAAATCTCGAACAACAAATTTCTAAATACAAATCTTGCAAAACATTTCTCCAAAACATTTCTTCAATACCATTTCTCCAAATTCATCGAACCGGAACACTGAATAAAGAGCTGTTTATTCTTCCATACCGGCGGATCAGCGAGCAATCGCAGCTCCCCGGTTAAAATGGAAGTATCAAGAATGTTATATTTCTAGGCCATGATATGATCGATCTATTTCTGCTTCTAATTCCAACTGTCGATATATGCACTGGGGACTTCGGTTTGTCTCCGCATCCCAATGACCCAGCGGCATTGCTCTGTGCCCACCCCACAGCCGCCACCAATGACAAGTCAGAACTAAGCCCGCAAAATGTCGAAGGTTCTTCTCGATCCATGCCAGAATCCGAACCCTGACATTCGAGTGGCAAGGCTATAGTTTCCTATCGCTACCGACGTTGGCGATGTGTAAATGAAATGAAATGGGGTTTACGCCACACAGTTAGCTATGAGGACAATTTTGCCCGGACAGCGGCACTACGGCCTAATTGTACTGAATTCCAACAGCCAAAGGATCTTTTACATACACATCATTGTGTACACGGGACCTTGTTGTTACGTCAAATCCAAACGACTAGACAGCTGTCCTAATCAGGACGTCCGTCCTGCACCACTGACAAGGGGAAACCACGCATAGCGATGTGTAAGACAGAGTACTTTTAAACCAAGAAGTACTTGTTCTTTAGAAGGAAATCTGTGTCGTTCAGCAGATCCTAAATTAACCTTTTAGCTATATCATTCTGATTTACGGATAACGATCTAAATAATATTTATCTCTCGCTAGATGTTATCTGTTCTATTTAAGAACTTCAGAACCGGGGCTTTATTCACGAAAGGTTAACCAATTGAAGCTCTTGGTCAGTGAAAAGGCACCATTCATGAATACGGTCACTGTTTTTTTTTTATCCAATTTATCCGCGTTCTTCGAATCATTCGGTAATTGTGGTTAATTCCTCAGTGATGCTGGAAGGAGAGCGTGGCAAGGAACAGCGTCTAGTGAATCGCTCGAAAGAAGTTTTTTCTTCTAAACTTATAATATGGGAACTAAAGCCCCTCAACGAGCACAACTAAGTACTTTTGATTTTTAAATAAGGTTTTTTTTCTCGAAGAATGAAGAAGGAAAATTGTTACATGTATTCTCGTCGCCTTATGGGAACAATTATGTTGAGTTATGAAAGATAATTAATTGATTTATTATTTATAATAGACAACATGATTGGGCAGGAGCTAGACAAGATCTCCATCTAGCAGCAGGACACACTTATTATTTTAAAGTGCACGTGAAGATATTAAATACAGTTAATGGTAAACAGTATCACGATGTACAGACTATGTTGGACATTGTCGATAACAATGGTAAGATATTTGCCAAATAATTTGATACGTTCACAATATTGGCAAGCTTCTGGTCGCAAAAATAGGGCCCGAAGTCTGCTGTATATGGTCGATAAATATAAGATATTATTTGAGAAATACTTTGATAAATTCAGAATATTGTCAAGCTCCTTTGCCCATTATCACTGTGAAACCTCTAGTCGAAAACAATAGGGCCTGAAGTATGTTGGATATTATTGATAGCAATGGTAATATCTTTTGCTAAAGACTTTGATAAGCTCCTTTGTCCGTTGACAGAAGCTTCTGGTTTATGGATATATCTCCTTTGCTAACTAATGGAATCAATCCATCTTCTGTCGGTGCAGAAAATTCGGAAATTAAACCATATTTCATGATAGTTTCTATCTGTAGGTAATCATAAGTATGATACACCTGGTTCGACTAAATTTGTTACACCTGGTCAGTGGCATCTTGTGGGTGGTGATTACCACATTCCTAGTAATAGTAAGTATAGCTAAGTGGTGATTACCACATTCCTAGTAATAGTAAGTATAGCTAGATACATACATCGGGTTCTGTTAGCAACGTCCTTCGCACAAATAAAGACGTTGTTCCTGGGGATCATTTGTCAGATTCTTGCTTACTATCGGTTCTTACTACACCAATGCATTCATTAAAGACCATATATTAATAGGCCTCCTGTGGGCACTAGTGGGTTAAAGCAAGAGTGTAGGGTCAGCCGGGTCAGTCAGATTATTGCTTATTATCAATTCTTGCTTACTAGCCATTCTTTAAAAAACATTATTAAATTCATTATACATACACCTGATTTCCGTCAAAAAACCCGGTTTAACAAATACAGACCAACTAGAATATTGTTGCCGACGGACCTGTTAGATTCGTGCTACCGATTCATTAGAAGCGTGATTAGGGAACAAGCAAAGCCTTTATAGACATAATAAAGATACCAAATAAGCATAAACCGTTTTAATATTACCAAAGAGATGACATTAACTATGGCTAGATTTTACCAAGTGTTTTATTTTATGTATCATACCATGATACTTGTTTTTCTATTTCAGCGAAATCTGTTAGTTTTTACGTCCAGATACCAGAGGCTGGTGTTAATTATTTGATTGATGATGGTGAATTAACACAAGTTCAAACATTATCACAATTTGCCAGCGATGCTGATAAGAGAATAGATCATCTTAGAAAAGCCGACTTAAAAATCAGGTACGATAATCCGAGGTAGAATATGGATGAAGACCACTAACTTTTCCCTCACAGTACACTGTATGACGTATGACCGTCTTCATTGGCCTAGCGGGAACAGAACAGTATCAACAATATCAACAACAGAGCAAGCCATGCCACTTGTGGGGGGGGGGGGGGACGGGGTGAGATGACTATACATAACAGGTGGTTTATCTTTATATTTTATGTTCTAATAGAGAAGAATGTCAATATGTTTCTATATTTAAGAACACCTGTTATTTGAGAAGAATGACGCATGCGCATGTTCTTAAAGTTGATTTGATTTTATAATAAAGCTATACGATGGAATAATAGTAATACAATAACGTTTTTTATAAAGCACTTGCTACATTTTGTAACCGAAATAATATAATAGTTAATAAAATAATGCGAATTATTGAAACTTTCTACATTTTCTAACAAATAATAACAAATACTAGTAACAAATAATATAATGTTGATATTGCTGGAACTAATTTACATTTGGTAGCTGATGTCGCTAATGACAATATATAATTAATTATCCACAGTTTAAGCGGAAGTGCTAACCCGACTGGAATTCAAGTTGAGGTAAGCATTGGATGTTAATGGTATTTTATTTTGAAGGGCTTAAATATGTATTTAATGAATAAAGGCAATTTGTTACTATGTAGCAAGATGTCTCTCGTCTGGTCGCCAGAATTTGCAATCCATATAATTGTGTCACGTTTTACTTTTTATTGGGGTTTTCTTATGTCTGTTGGAACCAGCTTTGCAGCTTAAATTTAAATTTTGGTTTCGTAAAATTAAATGGGAATCGACCTTTGTAACCAAACCAAATGTAGTTTTATCATTTTCGTCCTACCCTGTCGACATTGGAAAACAAAATCGGCTATAACTCATCATCTGTCATCACACACACAAAAAATCAACATATAAAACACAATACATTGAACAATTTATTTATCCCGATCAGGGCGGTGTAAAATATAAAACACAATACATTGAACAATTTATTTACCCCAAATAGGGCGGTGGAACATATAAACACAATACATTGGGCAATTTATTTACCCCAAATAGGGCGGTGTAACCATTTTAATAATGTATTATCTACTCTTGTTTCAATTGTAACGTAAGATGCGTAGGGTCAGGGAGTAGGACGTTGCCTTGCTAACCAGGATGTCCGGTGTTTTGGTCGAAAGAGTTTATCGGGATTTCCCAGTGTGGTCCAGGCATGGAGCAACGTATAGTAGTTCGGATGAGACGAAAAACGGAGGTCCCGTGTACACATTGACATGCACGTAAAAGAATATGACAGTTGTAATTCGAATTAACAGTTGGCCGTAGCGCCAATGTCCGGGCAAAATTTCCCTCAAAGTACACTGCTTGGCATTGCAGAACAGTAGGACGTTAAGCCCCATTTCATTTCAATTGTGACAACAAATAAAATCCAATAATATCGAAAATTATTTACCCAAATCTGAGAAGGGTGTTGACATTTTAACAATATATTATTAACAGGTTCAACAAACTCGAAGTGAATTTGGTTGGGGTTCAGCCGTTAATGTTAATTACATCCACGACTCCAGTCATAAACGCTATCAAGATTTCTTCTACGATATATTTGAATGGGGAGTATTAGAAAATGCTTTAAAATGGCCAGGTCTCGAACATAGCAAGGTAAGGCGCATTTTATTAATAAATAGAGTATTAAACATCGATGTACATTTAATTATTAGCCCAGTTGAAACAGAACGGTAAGACGCAAAACTCCATATTTAATGTCTTCGATCCTTGCATTGGTAGGGTGACCCACGCACCTACAGAAATACAGTCAACTGCTGATAATTCGAGACTACCACTGAAGCGTGCACATTCGCCGTGTCGAGGCCAACTTTCTGACAGTATGATACTATAAATAGCCATGGCACGTGCAATTCTCTACAAATCTATCAACTATTACAGCCGTAAAAAAATTATTGTTGACGATTTTGAATAGCAGTAAAATTAAGCTTCTTGGTTATTACAGCAGATTTAGAAATTACGTTCGTTTCATTTTTTAAATCGCTTTATCATTAACTGTACCGTTAAGAGCGGCATCTTTTGGTTTAGTACAAATAATATCTCTGAAACACTCAGGTTAGACAGGAACATGATACTATCAGTAGTTTCATTTTACTTTTACAAGCTTCTTAAAACAATTGTTGAGCTAGCTAACGTGCTCATTTCTAAATTCAATTTCTTGTTCTAGCTTTCTGTTATGTTTCGTAAAAAAGTAGTCTTGATTATCCCGACCTGTCAATCAGCCCTAGAATGGTCGATAGACTGGTTAAGCGAGACTAATTTCAAAACAAGGGCACGTAACCTATCTTTTACTCAAAAGTGTCTGGATGTTATGGACGACACATGGAACCAGTTTTCAGTCTATTATTTATACATGATTAATGGTCATAGCTTATTAAGTACAACATGATCGTTTATTTAGTGACTATAATTGTGTGAAACTGATTTGAGGCTTGGCATATATATAAATATTGTGGCGAAATTGTCGAGATATATGGAGATATTTATTTATGGTGGGTCACCCTAGCATTGGCCAAGAAAGTTCATCCAGATTTTCCGGCGTGGTTCCCCCTTGTCAGTGATGCAGGACGGAGGGCCTGACAAGAACAGCTGTCTAGTCATTCGGATTAGACGAAAAACCGAGGTCCCGTGTACACATTGGCGTGCACGTAAAAGATCCCTTGGCAGTTGGAATTCGATATAAGAGTAGGCCGTAGTGCCGCTGTCCGGGCAAAATTTCCCTCATTAGCCCAGTTCGGAGCAAAACAGTAGGACGTTAAACCCCATTTCATTTCATTTCATTTCCATTTAATGTCATTTTGGAATGCAATCAGAACGGTAAATGTTGGTGTATTTTACATTCACCGCTATGGTTTAAAAATAAAAGATGTTGGATATGGATGTAAATTCGTTATCTCCGTGGTAAACCTAGCGTACTTTCAAACATCAGTGTCAAATATTTGTATTTAATTAATGTAATGCAAATCAAGATGGTAAATGTTGGGGTATTTATTGGCACTGCCATCACCCACTTCCACCTAAAATGGTGCATGGATGTAAAAGTAATTGGTTTCTTTTTTTTATTCACAGGGGAATTTCCAACCCGGTAATGCCATGAATGCTGTTAATGCCATGCGTGCTAAAGGGTAAATTTGATTTAAAAATTGACACAGTATTCAAATTATAATAATAAACCCTATTTAATGTTGCTTAAATTTCAAGATATTATCTCTTATCGGAATGTACCCTTTTTTGTTAGTATAAAGGTCAGAGGTCATAATATATTTTGGGGAGGATCGAATGTTGTTCCATCGTGGCAGAAATCAATGTCTGGATCGGAATTAAAACCACTCTTAGAAAAACATATTAGTGATATGGCCAAAACATTCAGGGGCAAGTAAGTAGATATTTCGTTTCCATTAACTTTTACCAGGGTCTTGGGTGACCGAATGATCTGAAAGTGAATGATATGTTGGTTGGTCGAATGATCTGCAAGCGGGTGATATGTTGGTTGTCCGAATGATCTACAAGTGAATGGTAATTACGAACAATTGTACACATCGTCGTCTGGGAACTATCTTGGACTCACTTTGACATTGTACATCTTCGAGAAGCTGTATATTCACAAAGTCTCGTGAAATCACCCATGATGAGTTTATCACCTGATTATAACAAGTCTTTAAAAGTGTTTTAGTCCGCTAGAGCAACCAACACTCACTTGTAGATGACATATCTAAAGCACATTAATATGTCTGTCAATTATACCAAGTGATGTCACGACTCTCCGGATTGTTGGGCATATAACACAACTTACCCACATTTACCGAGATGTCGCAGTGGTTCAGTGAGTAAGGCATTGGCTAACTAACAAGGATTGCGATCACGGTGTTGGTCAAGAAACGTCGCCGGAATTTTCCAGCGTCAGTTGGAATTCACCATAAGGTTAGGCTGCAGCGCCGCTGTCTGTCTACAACTCCCTCCACTTGAGAACAATGTGATATAACGATTTTAATCACGATCTTTAGGTTCCAGCATTGGGATGTGGAAAATGAAAATATACATCTCCACTTTTACGAAGATAAGTTACGAGACCCACTCATCACTGAATGGATGTTCCGAGAGATTCACAGACTAGATCCAGGAACTCAACGATATTTGAATGACTACAGCGTTGTTAGTGGTGGACAGTCGACAATGGTGAGTAGATCTAAATACAATTGATATCTCGAGCATTTCATACTTCTATATATAAATCGAAAGGAAATTAGATGCCAATTTTCGTTTCGTATATCATTTTTTATATTTTTTGTTAAATACCTAGATCTCAGTACAGATACCCCTAAACCATAATCAATCAAACATCAGTTCCTGGATATATATGCCTAGTTGTTAACGTTGTATTGTAATCAGGGCGTCTTAGGTTGTTCACTTTTAGAATATGTATCCTTCTCAACGGCGTTTTTGAGTGAGGATATATATATTAATTTGCTATTTCCTTTTTTTCAGTTCAATAATAAAGTAAAAGTAATTCCTTCGAATTCATAGGTATTAAAAAAACATTAATTGTACAGTAAATGACGTATATCAATGTAATTATTTAAATTAAATCATTTTTAGGCCTATGTAGATCAAGGAATGCGTTTTAAATCTGCTGGAGTACCAGTATCTGGTATGGGTATACAGAGTCATCTCGGTGGTAATGTTGACGTTTCTGTTATTAAGGTAAAGTATTATTAAATGAAATGGAATGGGGTTTCACGTTATACTTTTGTGCGCCCACCAAGATACTGCAAACGGGTATACGCCATTTTTTGTGCGTTCAGAATGGAAATTTTACCCGAACAGCTGCGCCTAGGACTCTCTCTTATTTCGACCCCCAACTGCCAACCGTTTCCTTTACGTGCACGTCTACATGTACTCTGTCACATCAGAACAACTGGAGATTGTTCTCTGCTACAAGGGTACGCGAACGTCAAAGGTCAATCTGATTAAAATGCAGATCTACATTTCCTTTTTTTATACTTTCGAAGGCCTACACTACATAAAGATCTGGCAGGTTGTACTGCAAGGTTGCATTAGGGGTCATACGAGCTGGTTTTGACCCTATGACGCTTGACATTGATTAATCAATCAGTGTTGACGTTTCTAGTGGTATGTATACCCACAGTTCCGTGCATCAAACGCCAAGAACTCACCGTAACGGTCCGTTTCATTGGCTAATCCTTCACTTCAACCAGAACGTCGGTAATATAACAACTCTTTCAGATCCTAGTGTAGTAAAGACAAATAAAACGAAATTTTGAACTATAAAAAACGAAACTACATACGATCTGTGTTTTAATCAGATTGGTTAAAGGATAACGTCAGATCTATTATCTAAAGACCATTCTCGCTATAATATTTCAAATATAGTTAATGGAAAATGAATATATTGAAAGTTTAATTCAAATTACTTTATTTTGAGCAAAGTTATCAATGTTTGTAGTTTTGACAAGATGTGTGCATCGATCGTAACTACTGTACTGGTCAATCAAGTCTTAGTCTCGCTTCTCCATTTTTAAATTACATCGGTATGGCCGAATCGTTATAATCTACTTAAAATCGAAGAGTTGATTATGGTCTTGTCATGTTAAATTTGTCTAATTAATAATTTATACTGTATAAAATTTAAGGCCCGACGAAAGATCTGCAATAGGCAGAATAAGCTCTTTCATAATGCCTGTTTAAATAAACACGTTGATAAGGGGTTGGGAAGGGGGTTATTCCTCTTATTTAACCAACTGGCAGATGTAGCTCGAGAGAAACAGGATATGCCTTTACGAAACAGTACACCTGATACACCTGGTATCCACCAGAATCTCGTTTATGCTAAAGAGCTAACATCTGACCTATTCGTTCATTCAATTATGGTTCTTAACTTCCGGTTTAAACCGATTGTACTGTTTATATTTTAGAGAAGACTGGACGAAGTTGCTAAAGTTGGATATCCTATCTGGATAACCGAGTTAGATATAAACCAGGGGGATAATCATAGGAAAGCGCAACATTATGAGGACGTCATGAGACCTACTTCAGTCATCCAGCAGTTAAAGGTGTTATGTTCTGGGGATTCTGGGATGGAAGACATTGGCGACCACAAGCTGCTCTCGCAAATGGCAATAATGTTACAGTAAGAGCAGACCTTTCTATTTTTTTAAATTTTAAGGCACAATAAACCATTGACCCCTGTAGCTATAGGAAGTGACTGATGTCCTGCACGAGATAAGGTATACTTACTATTTTAGAACACCCGATGCCACTTGAAACTATCATTCTTCTCTACAGTAACACGGAGTTATCGTGACCTTAAAGCCACAACAAACCAGATAGACCACATATATCTCAGAAGTCCACAATATGTACTATTGTTTCTAAAAGTTTCATCCGAGTAGACGCAAACATCACGGGGAATGCGTTTGTCAATATGGAAACAATAGCACAATTATTATTCTGAAATAATGATTTTATGCAGTTAACTACAACTATTTAGAAATCAAACGACTTCTGTTTGTGGTTGATCCTAAACCAAAAAGGCGCGTTTGTTAGTAATGCAATTGAGAACGCATTTGTAATATTTTACGATTTAGTTATGTTCAAATCAGACGAGTATACCATGGTTCAACCTTTCATTAATTATTAACTTTGTCCTGTATTAAATTCACAGCCAAATGAAGCAGGGAAAAGGGTACAGCAGCTGCTAAAACATACCTGGAGAACCAACGAATCACATAATATAAGTCACGGTCAGACAGTCAGTATCAGAGCTTTTAAAGGTTCCTATAAGTTACTGGTACACCATAATGGTAAAGTTATTCATACTGAGAACTTCAGTCTTGGTCAAGCTGGAAACACTCTGAAAGTTAATCTAAGTGGATCAGGTAAGCTTTGTTACTTGACGCAGGTAGGTCCCACGAGATATACATGTACTACTTGCTTTTGTTGGTTGTTCTTCTTCTTTGGGCGACCAATTGTAGTGCAATTGGCATGGTTCTTGACTTACTAGTTCCTTGGACAATTCCACGTGGTTTCTGTTCCGTAGTACGCACATGCTTGTTTTTGTATAGTTCGGATTACAAATAGTGTGTGTATTATATATAAGTTGTATACAGATAGTTACATGGATAACTGTAATATTCTGCAACTTCCGATCGAGCAGTTCACATATCGGGCAGATTTTAATGCCTTCTTTGGCCATTACTTCAATTATTCCATACTACCAATTTGATATAGTTATAAGCATTGTACATTGTATTCAGTGGAATTTTTTTCAGTTTCCATGAAAACAAATTGGTCTAATTGGTGCGAGTGTTATTTTGTTTAATAATTTCCAAGACCAGGTTTCGTATAATTGGAACTGGTGTCATTGTAACTGGATTTTCTTTTTGTTACAGGGTCAAATCCACATGTTGATAACGTTTTGATTGGTTGATGGTGGAAGGCGATGCAGATAAGGTTTAATGTTAACGTTTGAATATATGAAATAAATTTAGACATGTCCAGTGCATTGTTTTATGTATATACCGCCATAGCCACAGCTATGGAACTCGATGAGACACATTTTACAATACAAATCGTGTTGGATGTTTGACAGGCAGTGCAAATATATTAGCCTGAAATGATAATTTAATCTTCAAAATCAATTCCATTGGCGTCGCCATCTTGCCATAGTCCTATTTACCTCTAATATTGCATGCAAGGTGACATAAAAGACCGGATACTTTAGCAAATCTCCTCGATATGCTCAAATATGGACAACTAGAATATTTGTCTGAAGGATAGAGACTACATGTATAATCATAAGGCGTGTGTGTTACAATCTCCGATTATTGACTGGAGTTTACAGATTCAAAATCCACATTATGCCTCAATCAGACAAACCTACACAGCAACCGATTTAATAATATATCACAATTTAATAATAGTATTAATAATAAAATGATATTAGAACAAATGAGTACAAGTACGAATAAAACAACTACTAATAAAATGATATTAGAACAAATGAGTATAAGTACGAGTATAACAGCGTTGATCAGAATGAATGCACAGGTTATTCACAGTCACAGTATTCAATTTTACCAGAATTCGGTTGGAGTTTTCTTTACTCTGGGTGCTTCTACTGCTTTCAAATAGTAGTCTGTAGACAGTCTTTTAAATTTACATATGATTTCTCGGCGTTGTCGTATTAATTCCAACGTTGGCAGAATTACGCAGAATCTTGATGATCCAAAACTGACAGGGTGAATAATCCTCGAATCGGTATAATCCGACGTGGTAATAATCCACAACAGTAATCCTAAACTTGGATTACAACAGAGAAATTGTTCGATATGAAGCAGGGAAATGACGAAGTGCGATGTGTTTCTATAACATTATCCTTTAATGAATCCTCACATCATATACACAATTAATAATATAAACAAACGATGTCAAACAAAACATCACTATCAGGTAAACAGCCATTTTCCCATGAACTTACTCCTCACATCATATACACAATTAATAATATAAACAAACGATGTAAAACAAAAAAAAACAAAAAACAATATCAGGCAAACAGCCATTTTCCCCTGAACTTAGCCTTTACCTCTAGCGAAAACTAAAGGCACTAAAAACTTTTAAGAGTCGCCTCCAATTCTACTTTGTAATATTATATAATTACTAGGACTGTGTCATTTCGAACAGAGATAATTTCTCTTAAAATAGCGCAATACAATGCAGAGAGATAATTTCTCTCAAGCACCACAATAAGTACAACAGCACGAAATCGCAATCAATCGAGAACACAGATCACGTGGCTCAAATAGAATATAGACGGAGATCACCTGAGCTGGAATCTATGTAGTGCACCAGCTGTATGGAATACATTTTCAGAAAATATCTGACAATAGAATTCAATATCAGTTTTAAGTCTACAGTCTCTAAAACGTCCTTGTTCCGTGGTTGATTGATACCACAGTAGACGCTTACGGCTGGCCGCCGGGGCTATTCGTGAACTTGATTTGGTATTTGTTGGTTTTGTTTGCATGTAGTGCGGTCCTACTGTGCTTACTGTTTAAATGAATATGCATTATTACGGTTTTAAAGTTTCAAAAACAAATCTCTGTCCCCCGACTCTGATGTAGGCAAACTTTATGATCCATGTCATTTCATAACGAAATATTCTCCAAAAAAATCAACACCTGATCTAAAATATATAAATACATACATAAGGACGTATTAATCTACTATTTTAATAGTCTTAAACAGGTAAGTGAAAAAAATTAAAATAGTAATTTCTTTTCGATGATACGTGTGCATATCAAATTGTTATTCGTTCGACATCGCAGCCTCATATTAATATCATTTGTACCAGTAGGTGACAGTTACTCATGCAGTTACGTAATAACTTTTAAAATTGTCATTTGAGACTGAACATTCACTGGAGGAAGTTCAACTCTCTAGTTGTAAAGGCCTAGAGTTAAGTCACATTTCATTTTATGTCATTTCGATTTATTGCTATAAAATGAAATGAAATGGAGTTCAAGGTCCTATTATTCTGCCCCGACTGGGATAATGAAGACGGACATACGCCATACAGTGTGCTATGAGCGAAATTTTGTCCTGGCACTGGCGCTACGGGCTACTCTTATGTCGAATTCCAACTGCCAACGGATCCTTTACTTGCGCGTCAATGTGTATACGGACCTCGGTTTTTCGTCCCATCCGAACGACTAGACAGCTGTCTTTGTCAGGCCCTCCGTTATGCTCCACTGACAAGGGGAAACCACACGGGAAAATCTCGATGAGCTTTCTCGACCAACACCAGGAGCGAATCAACTACCTCCAAACGGGGAGTTGGATGGCTGAATGGTTATAATGTATCATAAAGTCTGTCATTAAGTCGACTGGCGTGGTTTCGAATCACCGGTTGTACGTGACCAGGAGTAGGGTCGCCTGTCCAACCTCGTGGGTTTTCTCCGGGTCCTCCGGTTTCCTCCCACTGCTAAAGACCCCTACGCGCAAGCGAATTATTGAAATAACATTAAACCATATGTTAGTCCCGAAATGACCTAGTTTGTGTCGAGTGGACGTTAAACCCCATTTCTCTCTCTCTCTCTTTCTCTCTCTCTCTCTACATCCAAACTAGCAAGCCACTTACCAACCGTATATATATATATAACAAACTGATCTCCAGGCTTCGTAGGATGCACTTGGAATATAGGAGCGACTCTATAAAGTGGTCATTGAACTATTAACAGGAATTCGGTTATTGTTGATTATCTGGTGCTTTATGTAACGACCGTGTCCAGCTGACAAGGCAAAGATAGGATCACACGACTATAAAAGATACCATGACCTAAAAACGGTATTTAGCCAGTGATAACATATTCATCGCAATGTTTCTGTTGTTGTTAGTTTTACCAGGATTACTGGCTGATGAAAACTTGTTTACAAATCCAGGATTCGAAAATACAGATGCTTGGATTTGTAATTCTTGCAAGGGGTCGCTTGTTAGCGATAGTCATGGTGGCTCACACAGTTATAAGGTAGAACAAAGGTAAATATGCATTCCAGGAGTAAACGGTAAGGGTTGTTCACACAATAGAACCAATCCGTACAACCATCATCTTAAACGGTCGCATCCGATCAATTTATCATACTAATGGCGGGATGAACCACTTGTTCTATTCTCATCCGATCATCCAACCCAACATGTTTTACCCGGCTCCGCTTAAACCATTTCTTTTGTACCCTGTGTGGGTCTTGTGTGAGTGGGTAATTCAACAGAGAAAGACAAACTTGGTCTGAGTAACTGCATGAGTAACTGTCACCTAATGGTACAAATGATATTAATATGAGGCTGCGATGTCGAACGAATAACAATTTGATATGCACACCCAGTGTCAGGCGAATAGTAATATGACATATGCATTCGATGTCGAACGACGTGGACGTATGTACGGATCAGGTGTGTGACAAATAGAAGTTTGACATCCGAATATCCACAGCGTTTTTAGATTCAGCACATATCATCGAAAATAAATACGTGTACATAAATATGTCAGCTATGTCGGATAAGAAGCGGCATCAGATGTTCTTGGTAGTTTACGCATGACTCGTGGATTTTATCCGTGTCCGCTGGTTTCCCCGGTCTATTAAAGACCTCTGCGCGCATACATGTACTTATTATTAAAATAAAACTGAATCATGTGTTAGTAACGAAATGACCTAGTTTGTGTCGAGTAGACATTAAGTCAATCATTGAAATAAAATTTAACCATGTGTTAGTCTCGAAATGACCTAGTTTGTTAAACCTCATTTCTCTTTCTTCCTCTGACATATTTATACACCTACATTTTCACGTGGAGGTATTATACCGTCGCCCCTGTGTGTGTGGACACTCTACAGGTCACAATTCTTGTTCGATTTTGACTAAACTTGAAATATAGGTTAATCGCTAAAAAATCTCGACTCCTTTAGATATTGGTATGTATCGGATCAAAACTTTATGAATTATGGCCCCTGACTGTATGAAAAACCAAGGTTTCAGCTTGTGGACACTCTAGAGGGCACAATTTTTATCCGATTTAGATGGTACTTGAAATGTCTGTTTAGAATCTTAGATCTTGGTTATACAGGAACGCAACTTTCTGTATTATGGCCCCCTGAATGTACGAAATATTTAGTGTTTAGCTTGTGGTCCCACTACAGATCACAATTTTTATCCTATTTAAAAAAAACGCTCAAATCACCGTGACACCATGATGACGGTTGACTTCGAATTTCGTCAAAATCGGACCAAAGCTGCCGGACAAATTGGCCGCTCTATGTACGCAAATAGTGTAAATGTATGTACTGTAAAGGTCGTGGACCCTCCAAAGGTCACAATTATTATAACATTTGGATGAAACTTGAATTGTGTGTTACAAGATCGTGGTTCCTTTCAATACTCGCGTATACCGGATTGTAATTTAATTTCCTGGATTGTGGCACCTGATTTTACGAAAAATCAAGTTTTTAGCTTGTGGCCCACTCCCCCTACCCCCCCCCCCCACACACACACACATAGGTCACAATTTGTATTCTCTTTTGAAAATCGTTTAAACATATCACAGTTACACCCCAATGGAGGCTGAGTTCGAAATTCGCTCCTTGTACGCAAATAGTCTAAAAATATGTATCATACCACGTTTGTGGACCCTCCAGAAGAACAATTTTTATCTGGTTTGGATAAAACTTAGAATGTATGTTTATAACGCAAAGATCTTGGTTCATGTCGATATATGCGCATATCAGACTTCCTAGTCACAATTTTTATCCGATCTTGATGGAACTTAATACAAATGTTTATATCTAAATGATCTTGGTTCCTTTTCGATATCCGTCCGCATCGCACACAACCTCCTGGATTATGGCCACTGATTATACCAAAATTTGCATTTTTTTAGGTTGTTCTCCATCCATCTCTTGCAAAATGTGGGTGTATCTTGCATGGCAACCGCATGTTGAATTATCTGGACATTCCATAGGACAGTAAATAGACTCAGTAACCATCTTAAAATAAAACTATTGCGCTTTTTCCGATAAGAAAGATAGAGAGAAATTGGGCTTAACATCCACTCGAAACAAACTAGCATATGGGGACTAACATATGGTTCAATTTTATTTCAATAATTCGCTTGCGCGTAGGGGGTCTTTAGCAGTGGAAGGAAATCGGAGCACCCGGAGAAAACCCACGAGGTTCGACAAGCGACCCTGCTCCCTGTCATGTACAACCTGGGAATCGATACCTCGTCAGCTGACTCATTGCCAGACCTTTTGATACAACGCGCACGCTCTAATCATTCCGACATCTAACGCCAACTATTTCCGATAATAATTATCAGTTATATTTATTTGTTGTGGAATGCTTTTGGTGATATTTTGCTTTATCACTTCAGAAAATACAATTGGGGTGGCATTTCACAGGAAGTGTTTATTCAACCAGGTCATAATTATTATTTTAAAGCTTATGTTAAACTGTTAAACACAGCGGACGGTAAACAATATCATGATATTGAGGGGATGTTGGATATTATAGATACAGATGGTCAGTTTATTTTTAAATATATTCAACAGATTATATATATTTATATTATGTAGGACTTAAAGGACAATATTGCTGCCAGTCATTATCACATATGTGATAGAGCTGGTTAAACACATTCCAAATATAATTTTAACACAGATCATTGCTACGATAGCTGAGTAATACAGGTTTCCTAAATCGGAAGTGACGAACGCCAAAGGAAAACACGAGTCATCCATCTATATAACTGACTGATGTGACAAGTGATAACAGATACACGGCCGAATATAAAAAGTTTTGGTCTTCGAAGGAATTATCAGTGAGCAGAAATTCGCGCGTGTATCGGTCATTGCTCGCTACTTCAGTCAGTTATATGGATGGATATCTCGTGTTTTCCTTTTTCTTTCATCACTTCTGTTTCTTCAAATTGTCGTTACCCATCTATTGTAACAATAATCTCTGTGTTAAAATTATATTTGGAACGTGTTTAACCAGTTCTATCACATATGTAATAATGGCTGACACCAATATTGTCCTTTAAATCTCCCTGTGGCAGATCTTTTTCTGGCTTCAAATTATATAAGTTATCCTTTATTCATATGACAAGCCCATAATCAATTATTTAGACCAGGCCATCGAATCGCCAAGATATTAAATGGATTAGAACAATCGGTCGATTTAATACTTTATTTTAAAATTTAATCAATTTAATTTTATGTTAATGGAAAACTATTACAATAACGGCTAGAAGTCTCTTGCAAAGCTGGTAAAAAAACAGTTTACTATATTATAGTTTTATTTGGATACATTTAACTACTGTAATGGATACTAGCAGGCCTGTGCACAGCTGTCAATAGGTTTCAGGTGAGATAGGGAATTTAGTCCCTATTACAAACTGAACATTAACTATTTTAATCGATGCTAAATAATGTAATTAAATGTAACATAATTAAATAATTAAAACGTTTAATGTGGAGTAATCGTATGTGTCATACAATAATCGACGGTGAATTATACAATTCAATGAGTTTGTGGGACGACTGGGTTGCTATAAGCCTAAGTTTTGTTGACGGACAACACCATACATTACATTGAGATTGTGGGATGACTAAGTGGATGTAAGCCTAAGTTTTGTTGACTGGCAGTTGATTGGAATTTTTCAGGTAAACACAAATTTGATACATTTGGTAAGACAAGTTTTGTCACACCTGGTGATTGGTTTGCCGTAGGTGGTGATTATTATGTTCCACATAACAGTAAGTTTATTCAGCTTCACTCAGAGAGTTGTCCCCCTGGTTTATATCTTACTCGGTTATCCAGATAGGATATCAGACTATAGCCACTTCGTCCAGTCTTCTTTAAAATATAAAAGAGAAAGAGAGTGAGAAATGAGATTCAACGTCCACTCGACACAAACTGTATGATTCAATTTTATTTCAATAATTTGCTTGCCCGGAGGAACCACAGAATGCCCTCAAGGTTCAAGTTGAACAGGCGACCCTATGATTCACGTACAAGCGGGGGAATCGACACCACGCCACTTGACACGAAGACAGACCATATGACGTAACGTGCACTTCATTCGCCACCACCCCCTTAGTTCTAGTAAAAGGTAACAGTTCATCTTATAGCATTGTTTATTTCAATTTCAGCCGAGAGTATTCGATATTATCTACAAGTACCGGAAGTAGGTGTCAACTATCTAATAGATGATGCAGAATTAACACATATACCATATATATCAAACTTTATTGGTCAAACAAATGATCAGATAGATCATATTAGAAAAGCTAATTTATCAATAACGTAAGAATGTGTAAATGACTTTCATTTTTTTTATTTTCATTGCATGCCTGTATTTTCGTACTATTTTTTTTCAAACTATATTTTTTTTTCAATAAGAATAGGATTGGGGAATAAGCTAGGCCTATATAACCCCTCTCCCTTTAACAAAACAATACAAATTTAATAAATTTATTAATTAATAAAATTTTGAAAGGAAACAAAATTTTACATAATGGTTGCTGTTGGATTTAAGGCCCGAAAGTGTACTACAATATGACAGCCTAGTGATGGTAATGATAATAGACGATTACAGTACTTAAAATCTATTATTTAATTCTAAAAAATTTTGCACCTCAGAAAATTTATTTATTTATTTTGTTCAAGTGAAATATCCATAGTGCCATACAATAGAAATTTTGTGTTGGCGTATTCTGTTGATAAAATTGTATATACATGTACATGTATTTCGTGCATCTGAAAATAAGGGACATCCCAGGAGTAAGTGATAAGGATCTTCAAAAAATGTGTCCACATCAGCAAGATGGCGAGTTATGTATTATGTGTCTTACAAATGCATGTGCATTTAAATCACTATTTGATAAGCGAAGTCTTGAATGGATGATTTGACATTTTCTTTTGCCAATATTGTAATAATTAAGGTACCAATTAAGTGATCATGTTTTGAACGTTTTTGTTTAAAAATATTTGAATTACGTATCGAAAGATCTAGATTGTTCTAAAGTCTGGCGGTTGAAGGAAAGAAATAATTATAAAATTGATTAGTTTTACCAAGTTAGTTTGGAAGGTTTTAATCATTTATTAATGAATATTTAGTTGTTTTTGTTTTGTTTTGTTTACATTATCATAAAGTTAATCAGTGGATAAAGAGTTTATTATTTTATATAGATATTTCACGATACAAAGATATAGTTAGAAGACTTGGTATTCGATATCTCTCACCTGCGAGTAAAACTAAGTCTAGTCCTTAAATCAGACAAATGTTTCAATTAGCAAAAATGTATATACAAAATATCGTTTTGAATGATTTATGATATATGCGGGGTTTTCTGTCTCTTTCAGTCTTGGTGGTTCAAATCCATCGGCTCTGGAAATAAATGTAAGTAAAGTTTTTTTTATGATTTGCACATAAACAGCCCCGAACCATTATACAGTTGTCAAATTTCCGATAAATTATCAATTAAATAAATGAATATTTTGTGTTGCGGTTCGACGTCCTACATTCATCACCATCAACTACGTGGACAACATACATACACAATGATGTATACATGACACTATTAATTCCTACGCTGGGCACCCACCAATATAATGCAAACGTTATTTTTAGTGTTTTCCTCACCTTTCCATTTGCCCTCTTTTTGCATCAATATTTTTGTGTATAGCGTTCACATTTAGGGTGGCCATTGCATGGTTACTTGTATATTACTTTTAGTTTGTGAATATCAGGATTTACATTGGTGAATATATGCCCCAGTTGCTCCATCTGTGGTAGAAAGCGTTTAACCCAACGAAAATTTTGGCGAAAGTTAGAGGCGGTCAAAGAGACCGGAAATAACATTGGGGGGAATTAATAGGGAAATTAATGGGATACTTTGTCCAGGAAGCGCTGCCCACCCTCGTGTTCTTCTTGAGGGCGACGTTCTTTCGAGATGGCGGCGATGACGCCATGCTCAGTTCTTGTCCATAGTACACTCTTACTTGTTTTCAATATGCATGGATTGGAAAAGTATGTTGTTACTTAAAATATCTTACTAGTTATGACTGAGAAATCCTATCCTGGTTAAAAGCTAATTATCAAGCCATTACGAGTAACACGTCATAAGCAATTCGAGATATCTTTGAGTTGTAGGTTCAACAAACTCGAAGCGACTTTGGATGGGGTTCTGCCGTAAACGTTGACTACATCCATGACTCTAAGCACAGAAACTATCAGAACTTCTTTTACGATATATTTGAATGGGGTGTGTTGGAGAATGCTCTGAAATGGCCAAACTTAGAGCAAACGAAGGTATAGTTAGTTTTACTAAAGCTGCTTAAAGATGCATATATTGAACATTTCACTCATAATTCTGAGCGAAGATTGTTTATTTTCCGTTTTATCATTACATGTTTAAATTTCGCGGGCATTCTAATTCATTAAAATCGCCGATTGTCCAGAGGTGGTAATGAATGTCTAATTAATAATAGTTTATATATCAATTGAAGCCCAAACAAAGATATGTGTTTTATTTATCGTCCATTAACACACATTGCATTAATATGGTTCTGAAAAGATGATCAATTGGTTAATATAGTTGTTTTTAAATATAATAATAAAAAGTATCGCCCCGTTAAATGCCAAGAGAGAAATAAATTAGGTTTACTGTCCACTCGACCAAAACTAGGTCATTTCGGCACTGGCGTATGGTTCAATTTTATTTAAATAATTCACTTGCGCGTAGGGTTTTTCGGCAGTGCGGGGAACCGGGGGACCCGGAGAATGCCACGAGATTGGACAGGCGATTCCACTCCTTAATAGCTTGGAATTAATTCACGTGACTCAATGACATACTTTATGACGTATCCCCCGCCTCCTTAAATGAAAGGAGTAATGTGACGAAACGATTTACATCATTTTTGTAGGGTATATTTAAACCTGGTAATGCGCTAGCAGCTATAGATGCTATGAGGGCAAGAGGGTAAGTAACGTACTATTTCAATTCATCCTCTTTTATTGAAGGCGCTGGTTCACTAACCCAGGTCCTGTGTACGTCAAAGATAACTCGACAGATGGATTTGAATTTAGAGTAGGCCGAAACCCGAGTACAGTTTCCATCAGAACACACTATAATGAGATGTTGAGGCCATTTCTGGTATTTGTTCAGCCTAAAATATTCTTCATGTTATTTATTTATTTTATCAACAGAATAAAGTTGAGAGGACAAAATATGTTTTGGGGAGGAGAGAAACACGTTCCATCATGGCAGAAAACAATGATACCAATCGATTTAAAACTGTCGTTAGAAAAACATATTATAGATATGGTGACTACCTTCAGGGGAAAGTAAGTTTATTTTATTGATTTATAACAGAATCTCAGACGCTTCTTCGGGTACACGTTTATTCTTAGGCGTTTTAATGTGGATAATAGTTCTTTCATTTATCGACCCACTTAAAGTCTACAAAACACAGCTTGACAGTTCTTGCCTAACTTATAATTAATAGCGATTTCCCGCGCCAGAATAAATAAAGATGTAAAAATCTCGGCATAACCACTTCAGTGAAAGCGGACTTTGAATAAAGCTATTTTGCACAAAGTGGACGTTAAGCATCAATGAAATTTAAATGAAATACGGTTTAACGTTTAATTCCGACTGGAATAATGAAGATGGGGCTACTATAGAGACTTGTGACTTGTTAAAAAAAACTGAAATGCTTCCCTTTTGGTCTATGTGAAATTATTCGCGGAGGAGATGTAGCACACAACTATACTGCGCCCATTCGAAAATCTGGACAATCGCATGGCTGATCAATAAACTATGAATTTAATAATCCTATAGATATGCAATAAAAGACGACCTATCAACGTCTGGTTAACTTTGCGATCACGTAAGAGCCGTTTTACCTTATATAATTTTCTATTTATACAAGGATCACATTGTTGCCCAAGACAGACCCACGCGATTTTCCAGTTTGGTTTCCCCTGGTCAGTGGGGCAGGACGGGTGACCTGACCAGGACCAAAGTCTAATCGGTCGGGTGGAACAAAAACCGAGGCAAGTAAAAAAAACCTTTACAATTGGAATTTGTCTGGGTAAAATAGTCCTCTTTGCATATTGCATGACGTGTAGTCGTATTTATTAGTCCGGTATGGGCAGAAAAGTAGGACGTTAAACCACATTTCATTTTATTTTCGTTTTACAGATTACAACATTGGGATGTAAATAATGAAAATATACATCTACATTATTATGAGGACCAACTAAAGGATCCGAAGATAACCCAATGGTTATTTGAACACGCACATCGTTATGACAACAACACTGAATTATATCTAAATGATTATAATATTGTTAACGGTCAATACTCCACGGTGGTACGTATTATTGTTACACTCCGCAGTCCGATGTCGCGGTTGGAGGGAGAGAGGGAGAGAGAGAGAGAGCGAGAGAGAGAGAGAGGAGGGGGCGGGTAACGTCCACTTTACACAAACTAGGTCATTTCAGGACTAACACATGGTTCAATTCTATTTCAACAATTCGCTTGCGCGCGTAGTCGTCTTTAGCAGTGGAAGGAAGCGGGGAGGCGACCCTACTCCTTGTCAAGTACAAGCCGGGAAACTAAACCACGCCACTTGATCCATTGACAGACCTTCTGATCCAACGTGCACGCATCAACCGCCCCCCCCCCCCCGGCACAACTAATTACTTCTGGTTACGTTCGTATAACTGGTAGTTGACAAAGCTAAGATTATCCGGATTAACCATCTTGTTTTACTTTATTTTATCCAGGCATATCAGGATCAAGCCATGAAATTTCTAGCAGCCAATATACATGTTGATGGTATTGGGGTACAGAGTCATCTTGGTGATGCTATTGATATCTCGGTTATCAAGGTTCGTAGTTATAAGACTGTAATATGTTTGTGATACTATTGAGATCTCGGTTACCAAGATCGACAATAATATAAGACAATAACGTGTGTGTGATAGAGAGGCCAAACTGATTTAATTGATCAATACATGACCCACTTCTTGTGGGCGATGTTTCGTTAAAATTTCAAAACTTCAACTTAAATATTCGGAACTAAAAGCCTTGATAAGAGCAACTTTGTCTTTAGATTAGCTATTTTCCAGATGAAAATGAAGGCCAATTTTCAATGGGTGTTCCCGGGGAAATGAAATTCAAATAAGTGCGGAAACGTCAATCATTACACTCAAGAACATCTCTTTAACGTCCATTCGACACAAACTAAGATATTGCTGGACTACCATGTGCTTCAATTTACTTCAATAATTTGCTTGTGCGTCGGGGCCATTAGCGGCGGGGAGGGGGGGGGGTGGCGACGACCCCATAAAAAAAGACAGATGACCCTACTCCCCGGGATTGTAACCAGGTTACTTGACTCAATGACATCTTATGATAGACCAGGACCACTAGACCCCCATCCCCCGAGCTATTTGTGAAGCGGAGAATACAGACTTGTGTACTCTTAACATATTTTAATACACAGACTTATGTGATAGTCAGTACAAACAAACATTTAACACTGCTTAGAGAAATAGGGTTTTATTTCCACTCAATACAAGGGACTAATACATGGTAAATTTGCATTTCAATGAATCACTGGCTCGCAGAAGCCTATATCATTGTGGGTTACTAAAAACCTACGAGATTAGGCAGGCTACCCAGGCCAGATTTTGCCTTGTGTATCCAATATTTTGCTTTGTTTACCCTATATTTGGTTTTGTTTACCCTATATTTGGTTTTGTTTACCCTATATTTTGCTGTGTTTTCCCTCTATTTTGCTTTGTTTACCCAATATTTTGCTTTGTTTACCCAATATTTTACTTTGTTTACCCCACATTTTATTTTTTTTAACCTATATTTTGCAATAAAAATCACAGAACAAATGTATGTGCAATTGAATCACTATTGGATATGCTTTTTTTATAGAGAAGGTTAGATGAAATAGCCAAAGTAGGACTTCCAATATGGATTACCGAGCTGGATATCAACGAATCAAACGATCTGAGGAAAGCTGAGAAGTATGAAGAAGTGATGAGGCTATATTTTAGTCATCCTGCTGTAAAAGGGGTCATGTTCTGGGGATTCTGGGATGGACGACACTGGCGACCTGCTGCTGCTCTGGCTAATGGTCACGATGTGACGGTAAGAATTTCATTAAATATTTTCATCAAGATAGTTTTGTTACCAATAATGTCCATAATTTATAAATAACAATGAAAAGCAAAGAAACAATTCCATCACACCATTATCTTTCATGGGAATTGTCCTCACTGATGGAAATCAATATACTGTTTTGACCCATAGCATGAAAAGCAGAAAATATAGACAATATTAACATATATTCCGTTATGCTAGGTTATACCACTAACACGATTCGCGCTACGATTAAAATCGTGGTTTTAATCGTCGTGATCCTATGAGGTCTCATCATATATTGAGGTCAGTCGTAACAATCGTGTTAATCGTATCCGAACATATCTGCACATACCAGATCGTGGACCTACAGGGACAATCCTATCGTAACGCACGGCACTGGGAACCCAGAGTTAGCAAACAGTGTGTGTTATTTTGAATACGTTACACTGGAATGATATTAACATCCTACTTCTCTGCATCAACTTTGCTAATGAAGACGGGCATATGCCATTCAGTGTGCTATGAGGAATATTCTTCCCCAATAGCAGCGCAACGATCCACTCTTATATCGGATTGTAACTGTAAAGCGTCCTTATGCGTGCATACCCAAATGTGCGCGAGGTCCTGTTTTCCGAAAAACGGGGATCACGGTGGCTAAGTGGGTAAGGCGCTGGATCGCTAGCCTGGAGGTCGGGTGTTCGATCCCTGCATTGGCCGAGAAAGTTCATCCAGATTTTCCGGCGTGGTTCCCCCTTGTCAGTGATGCAGGACGGAGGGCCTGACAAGGACAGCTGTCTAGTCACTCGGATGAGACGAAAAACCGAGGTCCCGTGTACACATTGGCGTGCACGTAAAAGATCCCTTGACAGTTGGAATTCGATATAAGAGTAGGCCGTAGTGCCGCTGTCCGGGCAAAATTACCCTCATAGCACACTGTATGGCGTATGCCCGTCTTCATTAGCCCAGTTCGGAGCAAAACAGTAGGACGTTAAACCCCATTTCATTTCATTTCATTTTTTCCGAAAAACTAGACCATTTGCCTTGCCCGGCACCAGTGATAATGGGGAAATCAGGATAACCAGATCCAGGTCACCACTGCTGCGCATTTCAATGATTTTACATTGTTTACGAATCATATTTTATAGCCGAATGCAGCTGGGAAGAAGGTAAGAGAATTACTGAAGCAAACTTGGAGAACCGATGTGCATCACAGTCTTGCCCATGGCCATACCATAAATATGCGAGGATTCTTAGGTTCTTATGAACTGAAGATTCGACATGATGGCAAAACTATTCATACGGAAACATTTGATCTAGGGAAGAATGGAAATCACTTAAGAATAAGTCTAGCAGGATCTGGTAAGTAGTCACTTTCCTGTATCTTAAAGTTAAATAGGCCCTCTCCTGTCCCGTTAAGGTAGCCCCCTAATCTGTGTCCGGCAGGCATCCCCCTAATCTGTGTCCGCGGCAGGCAGCCCCATTCCTGAACCTGGATGGTAGTCCCCTTCCCGTATACTTAAGGTCCCTCTCTCAAATCTTTGGCCTAGCAGTTTCCGTGAAACTTGAACATAGTCCCTTATCTATACCTTGACATTTCTGGTAAGTAATTCTTTTCCGTAACTTGATTGTACTCAATGGTAGTCCGTTGTCTATACTTTGACGGTTCTTATAAGATTCCGGAGGGTATTCCCTTTCCTGTACCAAAATAATTGATGGTAATTCCTTTCCTGTATATTTAAGGTAGCCCTTTTCTGTACCTTGAAGGTATTCCCATTCATGTACCTTAAATATGCAGGAAAGGTACTACCATCAATTTTTGGGTACAGGAAAGGGAATACTCCTGTCTCATACCTTTTATAATAATGCCTTTCCTCTACCTTTATAATATTTCATTTACTCTACCATGATGGTAGCCCCTTTCCTCTACCATAATGGATGTCCCTTTTCCGTAACGTGAAACGTGATTGTAGTCCCTTACCTATAATTAAAAGGTAATTCCTTTCCTGTATCTTGAAGGTAGCGCCTTTCCTGTAATTTAAAGGTATCCTTGATCGTATCTTTAAGGTAGTCCCTTTCCTATACATTGAAGGTAGTGGCCCTTTGCCGTATCTTGAAGCAAGCGTCTTTCTCGTATCTTGAACGTAGTCTCTTTCTTGTAGTTTGAAGTTAGTCACTTTCTCATATCTTGAAGGTAGTTCCTTTCCTGTAATTTGAAGCCTGCCATGTCTCTCATATCTTGAAGATAACCCCTTTCCCATATCTTAAAGGTAGCCCGTATTTTGAGGGGAGTTCCTTTCCCATATTCCCGTATCTTGAAGGAAGCCCCTTTCCTGTAATTTGAGGGAAGTTCCTTTCCCTCAGCCCCTTCCCGTATCTTCAAATCAGTCCCTTTCCCACATCTTGAAGGTAATCCATTAGTTTTCTTTCCTGTAATTTGAAGTATTAAGTTCATTTCCCCTATCTTGAAGGTAATCATTGTCCCGTTTCTTTAAGGTAGCTCCTTTCCTGTAATTTAAAGGTAGTTCTTTTCCTGTAATTTAAAGGTAGTTCTTTTCCTATAATTTGAAGTTAATCCCTTTCCTGTAATTTGAAGTTAATCCCTTTCCTATAATTTTTATGATCTGGTATTGTAAACCGTTTCCTAACGAAGGGCATGCCTTAATTAACACTAGGTTTGGATAAAAAGCTCCCAACCCAGTACCATTCCTGCCCCATGACATTGGGAGATCCTAGTATGTAACTCGCCCCTATATACCCATCCAATCTGAACAAAGCCTGTCCCGTATGTTTGATACAAATCCAATTTAAATGGGAAAGGAAGGACTGGAATGTACACCGTGCCACTCCTTCCTCGTCCATTCCCAGTGTTGGATCCCATGTGAACGCATTGCTGCCTATCAGCCATTTATCAATACTCTCTTGTACATTAGAGATATTGTCCTCTAACAGCGAGCTTTTAAATGTTTGTATTTGATTTATATACTGGATAAACAGGAAAGCAAATATGATTTACCTTCCTATTTTCTTAATTTCAGGAAATAGTACAAAGGTTGGCCATATCATAATCGGATAATTCTGCGGCAAATTTATTGTTTTAAGAATTTAGTTTTTAGAAATTCTAATATAATAATGCATTAATAAACAGTGGTTGTATTACAAACAAATCTTCGTCTAGTCTGTCGTTCAAAACTGTTACAATTTGAATAAAATGAGGATGACGGAATCTCACATTTTACTTGCCAACTAAAACAGGTTAAACAAAAAAAAATCAAAATTCTATTTTGGATATATCGGATGGCCCAGAAAAAGGTGTACACTATTTAAAGTTGAATAATTCAATCAGTAGAGTGCCAATATCATTCAAATTTCATTGACGTTTGACTACATTTTAATTTGCAGACCGTACCGGTCAAATAGAGTTAACATAGTACGCGTTTTAATAACGATGTCAAATTATGCGAAAGTGTGATGCGACTTCTCAGACCGGCAATTGTCAAAAATCCATATTGTACAACATGTGGAATATGAATGATATGTATACAATACAGTTTGAATTATTCCAATTTAAACAGTGTATCCTGTTTTGTCTGGGCCATTCAATAATGTAGGTGAATATGACAATCTTACAATTATAGGGTTGATTGGTTTGTTGACATGAACAGTCTGTGGTGACACATCTGAATCATTGTACCATGCGTTTGAGTTTCAAAGTACATTAACAATAGGCACTGAAATCAAATGTCAGTCATCCGATATATTTTGGTCCAGCTTGGCACTCTAGTCCCGATAGCATTGCATCAGAAATGAAATGAAATGGGGTTTAACGTCATACTGTTCTGGTCCTAAACTAGGCTAATGAAGACGGGCATACGCCATATATTGAATATAATTCCAAAGACACTTTACCGTATATCTTTAACTGCTGATCAAGCTTTCAAACTTTTGAAAACTTTACAAACCGCCCTTCCCAAGATTTGTTTTGTTTCTTGGGGATTAAACTTTAGTTGCAGAATTTGTAGCCGAAAGGTGCAAAGTCCATCGTCTGTGACCCGTGACTGCGATCTCATAATGGTACCCGACGAGTTTGAATTGAAATGGGTTTGTGGCCAAAATGTGCAGAAGTCCACCATCTCTGGCCCTTAATTGCGATGTCATAAATGTACCCAATGAGTTGGAATTGAAATGAAATGTGTTTTAGCGTCCTACTCTTCTGCACAAATCAGGTTAACGAAGATGGGAGTATACGATTGTCCTTGACAGATCCTCCTCCCTTGATCAATGACAAGAAGAAACTTTCTCGGTCAACTCCAGGGTTGAATGTTCTGATTCACTAAATGATCGAGGCTCCCGTCGCCTTTGCCAATATTTGTCAAGTTATTGTAATGATTTAACAATAGAATGGGTGATGTATGATATCTGAATCATTGTGTTCTTCTTTCTTACTGATTTTATTGCGTCTTTCATGCCTGTTGGCGACATCTGCTAGAGACAGCGGTATTGTTAGTATGATTTACTTATAAAATGTTCTACATGTTTTACACCGTGCCTAAGATTACATGTTCTATAAAATGTTGATGTGAATAAGGCTATATAATTCAGCCGAGAGACAGAAACAAACACACAGTGGAGGTAGACAGAAGCAAGCGGTAAGTGGAACTTTTATATTCGCAGAAACAAGGTGAACTTAAATGAAAATGTCCAAGTTGTCTGCACGGACTGGAGAGAGAGAGAGAGAGAGAGAGAGAGAGGGGGTAACTTTCACTCGACACAAACTAGGTCATTATAGGACTAACATAACATATATACTCTTCAAACAAAAGTAGGGGATATTGAAATGCAAATACCTATGCATATTGTGATATGATAAATAGTCAGGAACACTTGACATGCTTTGAGAATATGTTCACAGATGATGAACTTATCGCCCCAACAGAACTACCGAGCTGCAAGTGCGACACGCAATAGCGTCATACACGTGGTTCATTGTCAAATTTGACACTTTAAGGAATGGTTGACGAAAACTGCCGATTACTGTTTTATCTTATCCATGTTTGCTTTCCTATCGGTTTTTGCATTAGATCTACTGTTTAGCGAATCTTTGCTTTAGTGTGTTACGTTGAATTTGATCAACGTCAACCGACAACACTGCAAGAATTGGCCGTGGCATTGCAAGATGAGTGGTTCAGATTGGCCCAAATCGTGATTGAACGGTTGATTACGAGCATGCCACGACGAACTGCTGAATTGCTAAGGATTGGTGGAGCAATTACTCATTATTAAGACAAAAATCAAAAACGTCCATTTTCACTTTTGACAGTCTAAATCTTTGCGAGTGAAATGGGGCCGTCAGATAAGAAGACAATATGAACTGTTTATTATGTTCATGTGTAGGCAATTGGCCCGTTATTAACATACACTAGTTACCTGTAATAAAAACAGCAGTGCATTTCCGCAGTTTTGTATTGTTTCTGAATATACCCTACTTTTTTTGAAGAGTATAGTTCAATTTTACGGGTATTTCGTAGTGGGAGGAAGCCGGAGAAATCCCGCGAGGATGGACAGGCAACCCTACTATTTGTCACGCACAAGCGGAGATTCGAACTCACGTCACTTGACTCAATGACAGGCCTTCTGATTCAGCGGGCACGCGTTAACCTCGCCAGACTTTTGGGAGGCATTCAGTGTACCATGAGGACAGCGGCACTGCGGCCTCTTCTTATTTCGAATTCTAACTGTCAAGGTTTCTTTTACGTGTACGCCATATTTATACGCTCGGTCTCGGTTTTTCGTCCCATCCGAACCACCTTACTCACTGAGTCACAGCAGTTATATTTCATGTGTGTATCATGTTTATTTGTGAAGAGTAATTTTGCTGTTAATTTAAATTAATTTGTTAACTTTATTCATAATATATCATTCATTTTGTGGATACTGAATATTCTTTACCTTTATTCATTTTAAAAATATGTTACACATAAGTCTGCACAAAAGACCAAGGGAAATCTTGCGAGAGTTTTGTTTTTCGAACAAGTATTTCATATTTTTTCTTAATTTTTCTTGAATTAATATTATCATATAGAATCTTATGATTATATCCGGTATTATTCAGATCATGCTTATATTATGCTCTAATTACAATTGCACTTTCATTCAACTATAGTATAAAATAGGAAACATACGCAGGAGTCACGGAGAGTTAGTGAATCAGGCGCTGGTTTTCTAACCGGAAGGTCCTGCATTGGAATCTCTGTGCTGGTCGAGAAAAATCCCGGTGTTTGTCAACGTGGTTTCCACTTCTCAGTGGAACATCACAAGTGGTTGGAGAAAACAATAAGACGTTAAACGCCATTTTATTTCAGCAATCCTATCAGAGGATGCGTAGCTTATACGCGATGCGGTGTGTCAATTAAGAAACGGCGAAATTGTCCGTTTCTACCTGGTCAATTGTCATCTGTAAACTTTGGTTTTGTCCATCACGAACGATTCGGGAGCCGTGGTAGTTCAGTGAGTAAGACGCTGACTCGCTGACCTGATTTTCCGGCGTGGTTTCCCCTTGTTAGTGGTGTAGGTCGGGATGTCTGACAAGAAACAACGTCTAATAGCTCGGATGTCCCGTGTACACATTGGCGTGCACGATAAAGAACCGCTGACAGTCGGAATTGAATTACTGCCAGGGTAAAATTGCCTTCCTAGCACATTTCATGGCATATGCATGACTTCTTTAGCATGTTTAAACCACAAAGGTAGGATGATAAACCCCATTTAGTAACCGTAAGGATTAGAATACTTTAATCTGTGTAATGTTTTTACGAAGAAGTGTGTTATTGTTAGCAAATGGATGGTAGACCATCTCATTTAAAAATATTATATAATTTCAGGTTAATTTGAAAATAAAACATAATTTTATTTGGTCAACATGAAGTGTGAGATTGTAATTACCGTGTTCTTGGTGTTCACAATGGTTGTACAGAACGAAGCTTTTGTGTCTTTGCAACCCACAACTGTTAAAAGATCACGTAAGTAATTACCAATCAGAATTCTACTGCTACTAAGACTACTATAGTATTACTACTAATACTACTATACTACTACAACTACTGCGAGTACTGACGGTACTAGTACTACTACTAACGGTAAACGACTACTATGGCTACAGTCGGTACTATTACTACTACGGGCGGCACTACCACGACTATTCCTGTGACTACCAGAAGTACTAATACTATTCTAGGGATTTAATCCGCTTTCCCTTGGGTGATATCGCGGACAACTGAACAGTACAAATCTGGTCGATTCCCCATTCCCTGACATTTACCATTTCTCGACTTGATATAACAATTTGTGTATTAAATATAAATTTTATGTTTCGACGAAATACGTCAAGGTAAAAGTGACCTTTTATGTTTCGACGAAATACGTCAAGGTAAAAGTGACACGGTACCTACCATTCTGAGTATCCAAAGAATTTTATTTCGTACACCCATTTTCGATTTTAGCTGACGGCACAATACTAGAGGAATGGTGTGATGGACCAACCGGACGACTTGAGATAGGAGATGGAATCAGAATAGACTGTGTTGACTATGAATGCAGAAAAGGACATATGTCCATTACTGGGTAAGTTTTAGACAATATGTAATACATGTACAATTTTTAGAACGCGTGCACACCAGTTAGAAGACTTGTACACTACGTGTATTTAGAAATGAAATGGCGTTTAACGTCCTACAGTTCTGCCCCAACTAGGCTAATGAAGATGGACATACACCATACAGTGTGCTATGGGGGACCTTTTGCCCGGACAGCGGCGCTAGGGCCTACTCTTATATCGAATTCCAAATGTCAATGGATCTTTTGTACACGCAACTCGGTTTTTCGCCCCATCTGAACGTCTATTTCTTGTCCTTATCCAAACCCACCACCCTACACCACTGACAACCGGGAACCACGGGACCTCCAGTTTAGCGAGCTAACGTCTTACTCACTGAGCCACCGTGGATTCCTGTATATTAATTAGAACACTTGTATATCAGACTTGTACCATTTACAATACTCGTATACGATTGAGAACACTTATTTAAAGTGCACATAAGATGGGCTTGGGAACTTTACGATGCGTGTAGCCAATGGTTACTATATCAACTTTACGGCAAGTTCACACCAATCTGATTGAAACTAATTCAGTTATCTTCACTCAAAGTCGTAAAAATAGACCTCCCTTAAAAGCGACTTTGCCAATCATCGAAAACACTCTTAATACCCTCAGACGCCAGTGACGTCACAGTGACCGAATGCATATTCAGAATGTTTCGTCGTTCGTTTCTAGAGTTTTAAGTCCACTTCCACCTAGGGTGATATCGTAGACAAGCAGAATGTTTATTCCTTAATTACCTCCCGTCTTCATTAGCCCAGGTTAGGAGCAGAACAGTAGGACGTTAAAACTCCATTTCATTTCATTTCCTTAATTACCTATATACAGCCGGCCTGTGTATTCATTAACGCCTGGCTGATTCATTAATCCCCCTAATTAAATAAAACAATAGACTACGGAATAATTTGTTTTGTAATTCATTTTAATTTAAGATCCAATTTAGAATTTGTTTCATAATGTACGGTCGTTCTCGTTTCTCACGACAGCAATTTTAATACCCTCTAACATCGTGTGCAGTCCAATCGATTCGAGATACATATTCGTCAAAAGAGTATTGTGGTTCTAATTTCCCCGAGTAAAAGAGTACAGGAGTAAAAAGATGTGGTCATGCAAAATGTATCATAAAAGTCAAACATGATTGAAAAGCGATTTGTAAATGACGATCCGTTATCATCGTACGGCGGATTTGACTTCATTACTCTGAAATAGACCGTAAAAATGAAATACGAAAAAATATCTCAATATACGTTAGAATTAACAGTACAAATAAATTTTGTGGCTAACCATCTAAATGGAATAACAGACAGGTTGAGAGGGGTCATCTAACTATCTTTGTGTATTATGGCAAGTAGTGTCGTTAATATCAGTCATTAATTAATCAATCCGACTAAAGTAATACAGACTTGGGGCCATAAATTAATTTACATCTCGGTGTTAGCAGGGATTGTTAGTGGGATTAAGAATGCTGATTAGGTAAATTATCTTTTTTACGCCGGCCAGATCAAAGACATCACTCTAGGTGGAACGTGTGCGTAGTACCCACGAATGAACTAATGGTAGAATCGTACGATAAAAGTTGTTCTTTGTGTATAGAAATGGTTATTATTATATATAGCTAATAATGAATATATCGACAACTGACTGACACCATTTGTATTTCTGTACTTATAGAGAATAGTTTGGGATATCAAGTATTACGGGGTTATCCAAATTACCGGTAAATGCGCTAATTGCTTAGGTCGTCTTTAGTTGTCACGGTACCTATTTAAACAATGACACCTTAAATGGGTCTACGGCATGATACGGCATTTTAAATTCACTCTAAAGTATTCCAATCACAAATGTCTAATCTATAACAACACCAGACGATAATTCGGTGATTATGATTATGCCAGTCACATGTTAATTGGACACATACACACTTGTCAACTGGTGGTGTGTATTGTATTGATAACGTATATAGTATGTGCAGTGCATGTGACGTCACCAGCCAATCAACCGGATTAAGGTAGTAATTGAAAATTTGAAAACCGTTTTTGGCTTTTGAATACTTAAACCTCAAAAGCTGAATTTATTTGTCTGCGATATCACCTCGGTGGAAGCGGACGTAAAATACAACTAACTAACAACAACAACAATTTATTTTACTGCGATATCACTTCTGTGGAAGCGGACGTTAAAACAACAGATAGTAGCAACAACAATTAATTTTATTGTCTGCGATATCACTTCGGTGGAAGCGGACGTAAAATACAACTAACTAACAACAACAATTAATTTTAATCAGATTGGTTTGAACTTGCCGTAAAATGGATATAGTAACCATTGGCTATAAGTACATTCAATTAAGATTTTTAATCTTATGTGGTCTTTAACGTTATTGAACGTGGATAAGGCTGAGTACAACAAGCATAGATCAAAACAATGATACATTAGAAAATGGGGAGGGGGAGGACTGGAGGACCCGAAGAAAACCCACGATGTTGAGCAGGCAACCCTACTTCTCGTCACGTACACGCAGAGCGTCGAAACCACGCCACTTGTATCAATGACAGACTTGCAGCATATTGCATGTCATATACCCCTTCATTAGGACATTAAACCCCATTTCATTTCATTTCATTTGTCTATGTTAAGTATAAAAATGATATCAAAACCATTAATTTCTGGATTTTATAATTTATGTTATGTTTTTTATCATTCTAGTGTCGGTTACAACGCCTTTGTCTATTCCTCTCCTGACTGTTATTTAAAGAAGAAACGTGACTGTTGCTACCAATTGGTTAAACGTGATCATAGAAGCGCCCCATGTAACAAGGGAGAAAAAGTTCAATGTCCTCCACCTCCACCAACACAGACGGGCAAATAAATAATCTTCCCGAGTAATAAAATGAACTGAAATCTTTATATGTGTTTTGTATTTGTTCCTGTTAGACTATATACAGCAATTCCCTTTCCCCATTTTCATAACTATTTGTTCCGCTTTTGTTGATATAGACTGAAAGAAGTTATATTTTCTGCCATGAATTAGAGGCATAAGGTTTAGGAATTGGGAAAATCATCTATAAAATTGATAAAATTGATTCCGCGGTCTATAGATTATTTTAACCTAATTATATTTTAGCAGATGGTTTTGACATGTTGGGTTATGTGAGGATAACAAGATCAAAATAAACAGAATCTTCAACAAATGTTCATAAATGCTATAAATTTAACATTGACTTCAATGAGGAGAGAATTACTGGACGTTGTCTTCTCTTAAAGTTCAGACTAGAGTTGTGTTCTCTTGAAGATTAAGCTAGCTCGAATTCGAGTCTTGTATATCTTACCATTCACTTCAACTGAAGTAGGGTTTAATGTCCCACTTTCCTGAAAAACAACCGGCCTAATGAAGAGGAGCATGCCATACAGGTTGATTGCGGGGCGCCAATGTTTACACCGGTGCTTTGGTGTTGCTCGTCACATTCGAACGACTAGACCCTGTACGTCTCAGGCCTTCCGTCCTGCATCATAGCCGGGGGGAAGGGAAGTTGGAGGAGGGGAGAGGGGTCAGCCAATACCTGGAGCGAACACCGAATTGCAGGTTAACATAGAATGCTTTTTGAAAAAGATTGTCAAATTATGCGAATGTGAGATGCGACTTATCAGTCTCGAAAGAGTCAATATGACATTATGTTAAAACTATTTGCCCGGCTGACCTACAATTTGAAGTAAGGTTGCCAAACTCCCATAGTGTACTATATACGTGAAATGTTATTGAATTATGCCAATTTAAATACTGTACTCGCTTTTTCTGGGCCACCCCATATTGTAGGTTAAAGGTGCATTATGTAAGATTTAGACAAATAGCAGACAGTTCTTTCTATTATAGTTTAATAATAGATAATGAAAAAAGGATATATTAAACATTTCAGTCAAATTACTTTATTCTGAGTGAAGTTATGTCTGTTTGGGAAATAGTGGATTCTCGATTGTTATTGCTAGCGTTGTTACGGTAGTAAACAAAGTCTCGATTATCCATTTTTTTTTTAATCAAATTATTAAAAGACGATATTGTCATTGTTTCAATACATCGAAAATCGCAAGCATCCGATTGTCTAGAGCGTTGATTATGGCCATTTCATGTTAATAAACGCCTAATTAATAGTTCATATAACATTTGAGCTCTTACATAATGCATCTTGAATATGACATCCTTATGGTTAGTTGATATGAACAGTCTGTGGTGACACATTGGGATCAATGTACCCTGGGTCTGTGTTATAAATTTCCTTAACAATCGGCATTGAATTCAACTGTCAAATATTCGATATAGTTATAAATACAGCCTGACAAGCATGTCGATAATCCGATATTTTTTGGTCCACCTTGACAATTAAATGTCACTACTGCCTTTGTTATCTGTACCTACTGCTCGAAACACCAGATACTACCAGAAATATACTTGGGGGATATTCTGTACAACCTTCAATATCGAAAATCAAAGAGAACAGGTAGCTTGTCTGCGAATCCACTGCTCACACATCCTCATACCTGATTTGACATGTGTTATAGGAATGTCTATAATAGAATGGGCGATTTATATCTGAATCATTGTGTTCTTCCAGATTGTTTGCGTCATCCCCGTTGACGACATCTGCTAGAGACAGTGATATTGTTGGTATGATTTACTAAAAAAAAATGTGTTTTAAAGCTACAATTTCATATTTTTAAGTTATATTTTTAAACTTTATTAAAATAAAGTCTTAAAATAGATGGTATCCATAAACCGTCCTACCTTGTTAAAGAATAATCCTATTAATCCTATAATTCACTATTGCCAGCTGAGAAATTGGCAAAAATATCATTTTCAACTTCAAATTCCAACGTTTGAAGGTAGCTAATGGATGGAGGCAATAGGAAAACAAGGGAGGTAATTGTGTTATTATTTCCTAGCTGTGTTAATGATTTTTAAGGGTCGTATAATAGTGAGTTGATAACCTATTGAGCAAAAATAAACAGAAATAACTATGTTTTGACTTTCTTAGAAAATATGAAATTCTCGCTTTAATTTTCCCCAACAATACATGTGCTGTGACAGTTGATGAGTTTAAGGCTATATAATTCAGTCGAGAGAGTAAAAAAAACCCCAAAAAACAAAACAAAAATACAGTTTACACTGACAGAAGCTAGGGTTAAGTAATATTCAGAGAAAAGAAATGAAATGGGGGTTTAGCGTCCTATTTTGCCGCTTCAACTGACCTAATGAAGAGAGGGATACGGCATACAGTGTGATATGGGTAGTTTTTTTACCCATCCGGACGGCTAGACAGTGGTATTGCCAGGCTCTTTCATAGAAAAGAAACAGCAGCAAGTTTGTGTTTGGAAAGCTTGTGTTATTTTTATTTATGTTTAGTAATTTTGATCATTGACATTATTCATGTTATATTTCATTTATTTTGTGTATACCGGAATGAATGAAATGGGGTTTAACGTCCTACTGTTCTGCACAGAATGGGCTAATGAAGACGGGTTATTAATCGCCTTTATTCAGGCCCTTTCATAGAAAAGAAACAGCAGTAAGCTTTGTAACAATATTGTCGTTGTGACCATATTATGTCATTGAACAATTATTGGTTTTAAATTCATAGACAACGAATGGAGCAATAATGGTGGCTGAAACAATTTTGTTATCTTAACAAATTATTGATTCCATGTTCGTAACTTAAAATATAAACATGTTGGTCATTTACATTTTTCAAGGATAAGTTTTTGTTTGAAATACACGTGAGTGGAACAATACTAATTACTTCATCCAGGCATATATAAGGGACTGGATTTGGGCGCTACAAGTAGACAAGCATTGGGTTCTTTAGACCATCATTTCATCATGTAGTGGTTCCTGGTTAGACTTTACAGGAGTCGGGTTGGAGGGAAACGCTTGTTAATTTTAAATATTGTAATATAGACTATTGTTTAACTGTTGTGTTGTAGAAACGTAAAGGCAAAACAAGAATCGACTCGCTAGCCTGGAGGTCTGGTGTTCGATCCCTGCATTGGCCGAGAAAGTTCATCCAGATTTTCCAGCGTGATTCTAAGCCATTAGAAATCGCTCAACATTTAATTCAAATTATCTTGAGAGCCGCCAGAACCAGACACCACCGGGAGATAACTTATTTACAGCATCTACAACACTAGATACAAGGTAAGTTAACGATGGATCACCTTCATGATGTCAGTGAGTTAACGATTGTGTTTGAGATCATACAGTATGACATTCAGTCAAGTGGCGTGGTTTCCATTCCATGCTTGTAAGTCGAAAACGCGTAGGGTCGCATGGCCAACATCATGGGTTTTCTTCGGAACACTGCTAAGGAACCCTCAGTGCAAGCGAATTAAGATATTTTAATTGCACATAGTTTTATCTGAACAACAATCTTCCGTTTTATTACTGGGGGTCACGCTATCCTGGAGGTCAGGTGTTCGATCCCTGCATTGACCGAGAAAGTTCATACAGATTTTCCGGCGTCGTTCCCCTTTGTCAGTGATGCAGGACGGAGGGTCTGACAAGGACAGCTGTCTAGTCGTTCGGATGGGACATTGGCGTCCACGTAAAATATCCCTTGACAGTTGGAATTTGATATAAGAGTAGGCCATATTGCCGCTATCCGGGCAAAATTTCCCTCATAGCACACTGTATGGCGTATGCTCGTCTAAACCCCATTTCATTTCATTTTCATTTCATTTATTGTTACATATTTAAATTCGGTATCGTGAGAAAACACAACGGTGAAGTCCTTAAGAAGTCAGTTCAGGGTCAAACCAATCTCTAGACGATCACCCCAAACAAAGATATGTGGCAGCAGTAGTGCTACAGCTCGTGTTAGGAAAGCTTGTGCTATTTTTATTTATGTTTTGTAATTTTGTTGATAATGAAGATTAATTCATTAACAATAATCATATTATTTTTAATTTATTTTGTGAATACCGAATATTCATGACCCGGATTAAAGGTATCTGTAATCACACATAATAATCCTATTGTTAGTTTTAATTACGTAACTCTAAGTTTAGTAAGAAATAAGGCGTTTTACGGTTTTAGACCGTTACGGTAATTAAAACCGACGATATGCGAAGTAAACGTGCACATTATATACCATTCATACGTAATAAACAGATGAAAGATTTAGGTTTTCAGACCATCTTTATTTAAAGCATTTTACACTGTTAAAGTTACAATTTCATATTTTCTAAGAAAGTCAAAACATAATTATTTCTATGTCTTTTGCTCAATAGGTTGTCAACTCACTATTACACTGGCAATTTCTCAACTGGCAATAGTGATATATAGGATTAATAGGATTATTCTTTAACAAGGTATGACTGTTTATAGATACCATCTATTTTAAGGCTTCATTTTAATAAATTTTAAAAATATAACGTAAAAATATGAAATTGCAACTTTAACATTATATAAATATATTACTCGGTACGGATAAAACATTCTTAATAAGGCTTTCTATTATCTCTAAATATCCAAATAGCTTGATTTGTTTATTGTAATAAGAATATATACTCTTAAAAAAACAGAAAACGCGCTGCCCATTTTTCATCATTGTTTTATTTGAAGGGGATCGCTGTTTCCATAAATCTTATGTATGGTTAAAAGAAATGCATTATTATTTTTAAATGTACGGTCACTAATTGTGACTGGTCATACTTTTTGCCGAAATTTGTTTTGGGTTAATTGCACCAAGACACACGAGTTTAACAACTTCGAAAGCTTTTCGCATGAAACCCAAATCTAAGGCCTTTAAAATCCCAGGGTTCTCGGTTTCAAAATCAGTAGCACATGTAAACACTCAACAAGCCAAGTGATGCCATACCTGAACGAATACCAACCCAACAACGCTATCGGTCGGTTATAA